GAAGCTTTACTGCGGTGGATTTGCACTAATAACATGTGTCACACGATCTCGAACACCACGTACGAAGCGGAGCAAAGAGCTTGCTGTTCTTCAATGCAAACCCTATATATGCCGAGTTGCCCACTTGCCTTTCTTGAACAGCTTTTTCTCCTGAAAACTACGATATAAAGCAGCAAATTTCGAAAAATCGGCTTTTACAAATAATCACCGGGAGTTCAGCAAGAAAGCCAACCGCGCCCTCCCGTGAAACACTTTACAGTAAAACTACGCGAAAACCACCGCGGAGGTCAGGTACTTGAAAACAGACTTGCAAAACCGTCCCACAGTCCCAGAATCTACGCGGCCATGTTTGTACAGTTTTATTTTGTTTTTTAAGTACTGAATTTGATGAGAAATGTTTAATTTACAAACAGCAAGTACGACAACGGAATAACCTGTTATAGAACGTGTGGCGTAGTGCAGTGGCACTGACGTCACGAGAATGTTGTGTCCGCTGTGACCTCTATGTGGTGTGTTGTCCAGCATGGCAACTGCGGTTGCAGTGTGCCATTGTTGTCCTGATGACAACGATCAGTTGGTTTTGTGCGCCCTCAGTGGCGGGTTAATATTAAAGATATTACGCCACCTTCAAGTCGTGACAGAACGTAAAGTTCTAACCAGCTGCAGCGGAATTGTAAAAGCGTGTTTAAGCTGTTGAGACAGGGATGGGGTGGTCGGTTTAGCAGTGGTGGGTTCTCAGCTTTTCCCATAGACTTTGTATGTTAAAGTTATTGAGCGTTTTCTTTCAAACGCATCTTTTTTCTCCAAAACTGATTTGTGATGGCTAATCTACACTTTAAGGGTTATCAAATAATACTTAGTCGTGGCAGCTTGGTTCAGCGTATCGGGCTGGCGAACTCAACAAAGAATAAGTCGTACGCGATTAAAATATAGGATAATAAAGTGCTCTATTCAATGTGAGAAAAGACTGCTGTCTCTATTTTCAATCGGTGCGAGTATTCGGTTTATAACTTCTACCAAAATGACATTAACCCATAACAAACTCGAGCGTGTAGATTGTGCTTGTTTAAGCTGATAAAGGGAGCACAAGGGAGGGGGAGAGAAGGTGTTGTTTCGTCAGCTTTCACACGATATACGTAGGTATTCCTTTGTTTTTTTTTGAGTATGTCGATAGTAGCATCTTGTCTACAAGGACGTTATGGGTTGCAATTTCCCTAAATCGCACAAAACATCACTTATCTCAGTTATCTGTATATCCGCAGAATTATTTTATTCAATACATCTGCTGTGTGGAAGCCCTTTCATTTAGTCATAATTTATTTATCAGTTCAACTTGTTTCCGGCAAGAGCAAACCTCGAACGACACAGGAAAATGTTCAGTGAGGCTCGGAATCGCCATAAAACTCGGAACAAATCGCGAAGCAAAAACGCAAGCGCTTGGTAAATAAAGTTCTCTTGAAAAAAAGGTGATCAACTTCCCAGTCCATGGGGAACAGATCCAGGGAATTTCTCGGCCATATGCCTATAGAATTCAGAGATATAGCGGATTCTATCATCAGAAATAAACGTGTACGCGCCCACCTGTAGGATCCGCCCTTGTGCTGTGTAAAGAGCAGCACGAAATGTCCAATACCGGTAAACCGTTAAGAATAAGTCTTGCTCAAACCTGAAGCCTACCGAACCTTTTCCGCAAAGAAAATATGTAGCGGTACACTTTCGTGAGGCTCAAACAAACAAAAACCGGATCCAGTAGACTCTGTAACACAAACAACGTGCTCTGAACTTTCCATAGAGTCTCCAGCTTCGTGGGCGGAATAAAGCGGATCAGTTCATAGTACACCATGGCCGGTATCCAGCAGACAACCACGCTGATGGCGAAAAACGTTAATACGATGAATGGTCGCGAACTGCCTCGCATGCGTCGTGGTACAGGTTGTACCGAGCTAGGAAGACTGGATACTGGCGTGAGTGGCGTCATCTGCCAGGTGGTGCGCACCGTTCTCCGTCGGTGCAGCTCTTTGTGAAGCAGGACAGGATAGGAAACTGGAATCACCAGTTTCGGTATGTCGAAAACCCACACCGTAATAATTGTCACCCACGTAGACTGCCGCGATACATCCAAGCGGCAAACTTTGTCTTTCGGAATACGGAAGTACACAGCATCGATGACGACACCCGGTAGAAGCATCACATGCAAATAAATTATCGTGCCAAAACACAGCCACCACGCCAGTGCGGTGGTGTGATGGCTTTTATAGGAAAATGGCAAATAAAGCGCCCATGAACGGTTGACCGTGATCAGGAGGTGGATGTGCACGGCGAGGGCAGTGAAAATATAAACACAGTACACGTGAACAAAGCATGCCGTTTCTCCGAGCCACCAACGCCCGTAGGGAAAGGTCACGATTTTAAACGAACCGTCCATTGCTGCGAAGATTATATTTGTAGTTAACAGGCAAATAATATACACATTGAAAGGCGTGCGAAGAGATCTGTCAGCCAAAAACAAGATCAGCGCTCCGCAGTTGCTCAACAACGTTGCGATGGTGGTGCCCAAAATCCAAGTTGTCGAAAAAACGTTACTGGTGAAATTTTTTCCATTTAGAGTCTCATTGAATAACGCTTGATGTACATTGTAATTCGATAGGTTGGCATTATCTCCGTTCATAACTAAGTCGAGGCTAGTTCAGCACACCGCAATTCTCAAAGAAAGCCAAAATTCTGATGGTGAATAAAATGCTATGGACATCATTAAAAATGCCTTCGGCTTCTGGCAGCGATAAATCAATGAAATTATAGGGCATCTTGCACCGTTGCGGCATCGTAACGGGTAACCAAGGAGGCATTTTGGTAAATGGCAGCGTCATTAGCCAGTGCTAATGTTCACCACGCAGGAAATTACAAGTGCGGTGGAAAATGCCTACCGGCAATTATGGATCTCGCAAAGTCATCCGGTGAGCTGTCTTGTTCGTCAGAGAAAGCTAGTCAGTTGAAAACAGGAGGCAGTATCCAACAAATAAATTACTACACAATTGCGGTTTCCGGGAAATATTTTTCCTTCGTCCAGAATCCACTCAAATTCATTCACCAGAACCTAACGCCAGGCCGCTTGCTACCGAAAAAATTAAAGATTGTCAAGGGTTAAACTTATAATTTTTATGCGCAGTAGCTCACCCTAATTAATGAAGATTTTTACACAATCATCGGAGCACAGAGAGACTGTGTTACTAGGAAAACAAAGCTCGAAGAAATTGCACTATGTTAAGTTGTCCACTCTGGTTTTGTCGACTGTATCGGAAGCAGACGCCGCATTTCCTCTCTGGCTATCAATAGAAAATTTTAGTGTACCTGCTTGGTAAAACTGCACCACAGAGTTTGTTTCACGGAAAAAGTCGCGGACGCTGCTCGCATGTTCGACGCAACGTGTGCGGTGCCCGGTTGGGACAAGGCAGCGCTCGGTCTGATAGTGGTGCAGCCTGATCCCGTGAGTACATTTAATAGGCAAATATAATTACATAATGATTCCTAAAATGTGCGAAAATGCCAGAAAAGGTCGCTATAACAACCCGCGTCAATCAGATAAAGGAACACTTGAGGTGCACTAAGTAGAACTCCCGTAAATATCGTTTCTGCTAAGGTTATTTGCTTGATTAACCATATATAGTTTCTTTGGGAAAGTGTTGGTACTGGGCTCACAAAACGTTGAATGCAAGGCACATCTTTGTATCTGATGATTGGGGCAAATTACTGATCCCCGCAAGTTTACGCTTACAGAAGCAACTATGGAATCATAAACGATTTGAAAAGCAATTATACTTGCGCTGGCGACGGTCTTGTCAATCGGGGAAACGAAAACAATCAGATCATTGGCGCACATTAAAGAAACTATTCCTGGGTATTACACGACCGTCTGATTACCCATTGCGTGGTTTGACCTTTATTTTTGCTGTTTGCGCTGGCCTAATGCGTGCTTGATTTGGTTGCAATTTGCAACAGGATAAATGGTCCAAGTATGTACCTCAAAGTTAAATATAGGCTGTTGTACATACATATTATACTGTTCTTCTTAGTTTTATCTGCTGCTTACAGTGTACACATTTGAGGAATTCTTGTTTAATTTGAGCTGAGAAATCTTTCTGTCCAGGGATTCAGGATGCTGTAAAAAAAGGACGTACATAGCGGCATCAGAGTGTTATCTGCCGCCGCACAATTGCAAATTCAAATAAACTTAAGTGCCCTTATTATGAGCTTCTCTTCTAAAGTCATTTCTGATAACATGGCCCTGCTCAGTGATGCGATCTTCTTGGAGTTTTCAACATGTCACTATTTCAAGCAACACTGATTTAAGTGCACCGGCGCGGAGCGCTAGGTTATTCCCTACGGATGTTACAGCTTTGTTGTGCAAGTAATCACATGAGGAATGATTACATAAGTGTCGCTAATATGTAGCAAAGTACTAGTACTTGTAGCACGGCCAAGTGAGAGCAAAACAGACGCATCGCAAGGCTAATCTTATAATCAAACAGGCGCACATAAAGAAAATTTCGCGTTACGAAATATCGAGCGAAATTAATAAATCGCTAGAAACTCGTGAATAATTTACATTAGGATAAAAATCGTTTTCCGACTGCCCGCGAGAATGGCAGAAAATAACCGAAAATCCCGCAATGATATAATTATTAAATACCTGGCAAAGGAGAAAACAGACCGCGACAACGGATATTCTAAAAACATAGGAGAGTTTTGAACGAATCAGACTACTCTGATGACATTCCAGTGTGGCATTACTCCGCACGTTTCAGCAATCCACAAACCTCAGGGCATGTAGGGCAGTTGTACTTAGTTGCCGTACTATTGCTTTCAAAAACCAGCGTAAGCATCTTCTTATTTATTGCCACGCCCAGCTGCCCATTGGTGGCGCAGGTACGCAATATAATCATACACCATCTTGAAGCTGAAACACGCAAACACGGGATCAACCAGGGCCTGCAGTGCGTACATCATGCCGGCAATCTTAAAAAGGTCGCCATCTTCTCAGGTGAAATATAGCGGGTGAGATCATAGTAGACCGTGCTCGGCAGCCAGCAGACCACCACACTGACGGTGAACAGCGTCAGTACAACGAAAGAGCGCGAACTGCCGGCTGTTGGTCGAGCGGTAGGCGGGGCATTGTTGGCCGGCTGTTGTGGTTGATTGGACGGAACCACCTGATTGGATGACAGCGGCTGAATGGAGGTTCCAGGTGGCTGCGATGACCCGGCGGTTGTTCCCGCTTTGCGAGCAACAGCCGCCATACGTCGCCGTCGTAACTGCCGGTGAAGCAAGAATGGATAGCATACGGCAATGTAGACTTTTGGTGCATCGTACACCCAGAAGTTGACGAAAGTTGCCCATGTGAACTGCTGTTTTAGATTCACCCAGCAACCTAAGGTTGAAATTCAAGCATGCACGGTATATCCATTTTCGCAATAATAGATAATACAGTTAAATTTGAGATTGACACAATATATTGCATTACTTTCTTCCAGAAACGTCCCAGAAGAAGCTTTCTTCCGGAAAAGCGGTTTTCTGCTTAGCCATAACATTTCATCAGTTGTTGTTCACCAGACCTTTGTTTTTTATTGTTATTTATGATTTAATAGCTAGATTATACAGTTATTTTTAAAAAAATAATGTTTTTGTTTCAAATTTTTGCATGGTCAATTACTCAAATTTGTGCTAGATTTGGCTAATAAAATTGCTTCGGCGCTTAAAACTGGAGACCTTTCGAATTTGATTTCAACTATACAATTACCTATTTCCACGGGAACACGATAGTGCAGCGCATCGATGACCAGACCCGGCACAACCAGAGCATTGAGATACAGGAACATTCCCACACACAGACATACAGCCATCGTTGTCGAATGGCGGTTACGGTAGGACACCGGCCAGAACAAGGCCCAGGTGCGGTTCAAAGTGATCAGCAGATGAAGATGAACGGCGTATGAGCCAAAGATGTACACGAAGTACAGGTTCATGGTGCAGGCGGGAATCCCCATCCACCAGGCGCCGTGCGAGTATTGGAGGATTTTCAATGTCGCGGTGGTGCCGGTGTAGACGACATTGGTGGCCAGCAGCGCTATGATGTACACGTTGAAGGGCGTGCGCAGGGATTTGTCGCGCAGGAATAGCAGGAGCACGCCGCAGTTGGTCAGCAGTGTGGTAGTGGATGTGCCCATCAACCAAGAAGTTGTCAGTTTATCTCCAGTGGTGTTGCTGGCGTTTGTTGTACCCAGCATCGCGGTTTCGTTTAAATAGTATGCAGATGCGTTGAGATATCCGGATAGATTGGTCATCTTTCCGTCCATCATGGTGAATGTTTTAAATCCGTAAGGCAGTGCAAATAGTACAACAGGAATAATACACACAACCGTCAATGTGACTTTTCCCGGTTTGCTAATAAATTATTTAAAGCGCAATGCATCACGTCATAGAACATAACTAGGACCACAACTGTACAGATAACAGCTGCAACGGTACGTCTAGGCGCAAAACAGATTTTATATGTTCAATGTATTTGCATACTAAGCTGTTTCGGATAACAGCGATCGGCTTTTGATCAAACCTTTTAAGCCAATTAGATTAATGCTACCGCTGGATTAAGGCGCAGGTAAAATAGGACTGAATTGCATCAAGGGTATAAGCGGTAACTCTTCGTCTCCTGGGTAAATTTTTTGTGCGTCCCCGGAACCGTTTTAACCGTGTTAAAGAATAAGCTTACGTAACTGACGGTAACGTTGTTTTCTATTTGGAAAAAGCAGTATTCCGATCAACGGGACTGTGGATTTCCAGTATTGCAACTCCTCGAAAACTCCCAGGAGATACTGCGTGAATCGCTACCAGGTTCGTACAGCTTTGCGTCCTGCGATTAGCACAGGAAAAGGTGGAATTTGAAAACAGAATTTCCTGTTGGTTAAAACGGTCGGCTGAGAATCAGAGATCTTTTGACATTCAGCCGTTATTATAAAAACTAAAATTTCCACCAATAAAACTGTATGGATGTGTTGAGAATTAAGGTATACTCAGTAGAAAGCGATGTAATCCTTGCAACAGTACCAGTTACTTTTGCTTAGCACCTATCCAGCTGCTGAAGATTAAGTCGCCTGTGCGCGGAAAATGTCAGCTGATATCGGCGGATGAGCTGCGTTACCAAGGATCTCGGTTGGTGTTTAGAAAAAGAATTAAGGTAAGTGTAAAATTTCTCAATGGCAAAAAATCAAAGACATGCAATTATTCGTCCAAAAATTGTGATGCCTGGACAAGCCCGAGCATGTAACACAGTAATCAGTAGCATATGTAATGTATGTAATCTTTGAGAAATTAATGCAACGAATTATGATGCACCTAAAATATGCAACGTTCTCCACACTTAACTGCGTACTACTATGGCAGTGCAAAAGTAAAGAGCATAATAGTAACTTTATCAGGGAAGTAAAAGATTCAGGACAAATTTGTCAGCAACGGTCAGGACTCAGGTGCTGCCGGCGATTGCGCATTTCAGTCTGCGCAATTGCGCACTTACTTCGTACACAACGCGCTATTTATGACGCCTGATCGTGATACTACTTAACACGAGACAACAGGTGCGTCACTTCCCAGCCGGAAACACTTCTTCTGTTGTTCTTGTCTAAATCTTGTGTAGACAGGAAGCTGAAGAAGTGACAATAATGTCTCTTCGCCGAAAACAAAGAAGAAAACTTATTTTTGTCGAGGCCGCGTCTACTACATTTTCAAATTGTATTTGGTCTGTATGGAAATCGTATGGAGCGCGTACTCTGCAGAAGCAGTGGTTTTGACAGTCGCCTTTTACGATTAATTTTTGGGATGCTGACGCGCTATATCACTTAAACTTCAAAGAGGAGCTAACCCGGCTAAGCAGCTTACACTGTAAGCGTTTTGCGCAGTACAGGGGTACACTATCGGCATTTTCTTATGCTTCAGAAAAAGAATTTAAGAATTATTTTAAACTGAAACTAAAAATTAAATTAGTTTAAATGATCAAGTTTGCAACCGACTAAGCCGGTTGCAAACTTGACCGTTAAAACTGTTTTTTAAAGCTTAGCCTTGCGAGTCTGCAGGATTCAGTTACGTTCATTTGATAAAAACGTAGCTTATGCGGAAAACTATATTGCTACGTAGAGGAGAAACGGCTCTTTCATAATGAGATAAAAAAGCCTGTGTACACTGCAGCGCAACTGTAAAGTCACTTTCTCCAAATAACGCCTAATAAACCCATATAAGAAGCTGCTGGTTTGTAAACGTTTTGCAGCGCATGATACACATATTATACATTACATTAGCATTATTAACCAGAGAGAAATGGTAAGAGAAATGGCCCGGTACATAGCGTCAAAAATGGGATACATACACCAAAATTTTCGCTTGCGCGCACTCTCTGAATGACTATTTTGTAATACTTTATGTCATTCTAAAGCTAAATGATTCGCATACATTGTTCTGGAAACCGTATGCGCGCGCAACATCCGTTTGCCGAGATAAGGTGTTCTATAATGGGCGAAAAGTTTAAATGCATTGTTTGTACCAAAAGTCTGGTTAATACCCGATCTTCTTGAAACTTTGCTGCAAAAGACACATGGCCACAAAGCCGAAAGTGAACCAATTTCAGGTCCATAGCACTTTCCCATAAATTAAAAATAAATTTTAAAATTTTTGAAATTCATTTTAAAATCGGAAAAAAATGCTATGGGTCCGGTATTGGTTCACTTTCGACTTTGTGACCATGTGTCTTTTGCACCAAAGTTTCAAGAAGATCGGGTACTTTGGCAACAATTCGTACTTTGGTAACAAGACTTTTGGTAACAACAATGCATTTAACTTTTCACCCATTTTAATGGACTATATCTCGGCAACCGGATCTTGCGCGCGCATACGGTTTTCAGAACAATGTATACAAATCATTTAGCTTTAGAATGACATAAAGTATTACAAAATTGTAATTCGGAGTGCGCACAAGCGAAATTTTTAGTGTATGTTTGATGTATCCCATTTTTGACACTATGTACCGGGCCACTTTCCTTAGGGAAGTGGCCCGGTTCATGGTAACAATTCGTGTACATGTACGAAAACTTTCACTTTCGCGCACCTCCAAACACCTTTTTGCTTTGATTTATGATATTTTGTAACCAGATAATTTTTTAAACATTTTGTAGCCAGCGTGAAAACCGTTTGTGCACGCAACATCCGGTTCGGGATTTACGGCTGTTAGGAAACTCCAAAAAGTTTAAATGCATTCAAGCGAACCAAAAGCCTTATTATGCCGATCTCCTTCAAATTTTGCACGTGAATGCACATGGCCATGAAGGTCGTTTTTACACCGATCCAGACGCCCATGATTTTTTTCAAATTTTAAAATGAATTTTAAAATTTTTGAAATTCATTTTAAAACTTGAAAAGCATGATAGAACAGTGGATCGGTCATCGGTGTAAAAACGTTCTTCGTGGTTACGTGCATTATCTGAGAAGATCAGTCCATATTAAGACTTTTGGTTCACCTGACCGCATTTAAACTTTGTGTAATTTTCTTAGAGCCATAACTAGTTATGGCGCGCAACATCCGGCTCGGAAGTACTCCCGAGCCGGATGTTGCGCGCACAAACGGTTTTCACGCCCGTGTATACAAATCATCTGGCTACAGAATGTCATAAAACAAGAGAAAACGGGTTCGGAAGTGCGCGGAACTGAAAGATTTTGTGCATGTACACGACTTTGGGACCATGTACCAGGCCACTTTCCTTAATTGTATTGAAGCTGAAATTTTGCAGCACGTACAGAGGTCTGTATATCGGTAGCACTTGGTAAAAATTTCCCCTAGGGATGAACAACGACAACTGCTTTTCTAAGAACGCTGTATCATTAGGTTTTAAAAACTAATTAGAGGTAATTTTGGCTAATATCAACCATTTTGAAATGGAATCCGTTAAGGGAATTTTGGGGTGCAGGTTTAGGTTTGCTCTGCAACGCAGTTTTACTACAAAAGTAATTGTAGCGTACGAATGCGTAAATCGAACGGTATACAACGTGTAAAATGTGATTATATAGTGAGTGAAATGTGTAAAATCGAACGGTCAGTTATTAACGGTCCAGCAGGAATGCACTTGCAACGATGCGGGTGTGTTCGACATTTGGGGTCTCCAGGAAATCCCAGTATTGTTATCAGCTATCGAGACATCGTCTTATTTTATTGAGAAACCTCTGTATCCAGTTATGAACATGCTCATGTGAAGAATTATACGGTCACATCGATCAATAGTTTTATAGAATCTACAATACCTAGTATGCGTAATGTGTACCTAATGATCGCAATTTGTACACTAAGTGGCGAGGATATAAAGGCAGATTGCAGTACACGTGTCGCAGTGGTGATGCATTTCATGTATACTTTTTTGCTACAAGTACTACGTTTTTATGTTACCGGCTAAATTTTACGGCATATTTCTACAAAATTTTACGAAATTTATTTAGAGTGCTTACTAACAGAGTTACACTATATTAGCACAGATAAGATTAGCACATCGTTGCACTCTAAGTGTGATATTGGACTGCTAATTCGGGTGCCCACAGTACGAGTATATGCAACATGCTGCTCGTTCTTTTGCTTATTATGGTTGCAGGAAACACCGCGCTACCGGTTCCGCGCTACATCTACAAAGGGATATTTCCGTTCTACTTCAAACTGGCTCAGCACTTTACCCGTGAAGAAAATGAATTACTCTCTGCCGGAAGGCACGCCCGGACATTGTTTTCAGTGCACAAGGGTAACCCAGCGCCTTGTGTGACGAATCACAATTGTGCTTCCACAGCACTGCAGAATCCGCCAGCGTTGCCGCGCTACTATCATACCCCGCTCGGACCCATCGCGATCCTGCGCCAGCTCCAGATGCTGGACAACCCAACACCGGTCGCAACGCGCTCGGATGGCAACTGGTTTCTAGGCTGACAGTAGAAACTGGATTGTAGAGTTTTTATAGCAAGAATTTATTATCCTTTTGTCCTGCGCGCTAGTGTCAGCTCTGTGTGTTAGGATGTTTGAAGGTCACGGAAGACTTATTTGACCACAAACTGGCACTTAACCGCGAAAAACATTGCAGTTTTCAGATTTTTTATCTATTGCGCCTACAGTATAATTATTTTAATAATAAACATTTGTTAGAAAATTTAAAAGGTCAGCCGCTGCATTTTTGGAAGAGAAGAAATTTAATTTAACGATAACAACTATATAGGTATTTGCAGAGTCATAACGTATGCAGTCTACTGTAGCAAAAGGCAGTCAGTCTGTAACGAGCAGACGGCAAGGCGAACGAAGCAGACAAAAGCGCCGTAAGGCAAAACCATATCACATTCAGTCACTTATATCGCAAACTAAAGCGAACTCACCGTATGATACATTACACACTACCGAAATAAATAAAATAGGTTCTTCATACAGAAAATTTCTCTTTTTTCAAAGAGTTTATGGTTGATTTAAAAAATATAATAAAAAAGGACTGAAATAATACTAATAACCCAGTTGCAATATCTAAATGTCAATCGATTGATCTACATAAGATTTGCGCTATAGTTCTATTAAATAATGGAGTTTACAAAAAGTATCCATCACCGGTACCCTGAAAGTTTCGGAACTTCTTAGATTTCTTCGGCCTGTCGAACAAATTACTAATGTTGAATTACAAAATAAAACGGCTCAGACCTTTTTTATACGCCGAGAGAAGCACGTAATTAATGATATTTCAATGTCTGTAAAATGTCAATATGTACCACCGTCCCCCGCCGGCTACGACGGCCATTCGACCTTGCACAACATTCACCGTTTAACGGCCCATTCTCCGTGCATACTGACAAAGGTCAAGCTCATTGTCGCACCTGAAATCAGGCCTGTGCACTTAACCAACAGCGACTGTCCGATGCCTGTTCGATACACATTACTCAGGCAAAAAAATTGCTAAACGACCTCCACGACATCGAAATTTTGGCCGCTTTTTACTAGAATAGTTGCTGTAATTAGCCTATTGTCAGATTACATGTAAAGGCGTAGTTGATTACAGCAACATGAATAATCTGAATTAAAGGATTATGTGAAGGGCGGCGGCGTGTCATATAAAGAATTTCCGCCTCATTGTTTACTTTTTTCATTTTTTCCGCATGCATCTCCATGCACGGATGACCATGGTGGGATGTCACCACAGCACCGCCTTGGGTGTGCAGTTGTTGATCTCTTTGTTGTTGTTATCTGGAGAATATCGTTCAGTTTTATCGGCGCTTTCAGATGGCAAGTTTGGATTAAACATAATTATGTTTATCATAATATTATAATTACGGTGCTAACAATAATATGATCCTTTATTGTGGAATGTTTAAGCAACGATTGTTGGCGGTTTTATAGGATCCGATTCGCAACGCGTGCCTTCAAAAGGCTGCCACAAAGTGGTCACTGCTAGCGCGAGTTGTAAGTGTTCTTGACCGATTTGCAGCGTGCGTGTGCTTTATTAACCGGCCAAGTTATTCGTTGACCATTTTGTTTAATACATAGTATTATGCATGGTACAGTAAGCGTGATCGTATTGTAGCTTCTTCGAAGTCAGGCGCTTTTGCCGGCGGCTCAGCGAGTGTATCCGGCGGATCATCAGTGAAAGGTGTGAACTCAAGCAGCGATATCAGCGAAAGTGAAAGTTTCGATTCGTCTGAATGCGGTAAGCGCTGCTTATTATCAAACTGATTTGACTAATTACCCTTGCATTTATTTGAATTTCATTGTATCCATTGAATGTAGGCATTATTCAGGGACGTAGCAGGTTGTTTGACTACGAATTTTTAGATAAATTTTATTTTACCGCGACTACGTAATTTAGGGTAAATTTTAATACATATTACAATTGTCCTCTGCAAAGTTCATTTTAACAGAATTCATATTACTGAGATTTTCTAATGAATTCATTTATTCTGAATTTCGAAGCTGGCTTTTTTGAATTTGCAAGTTTTTTTAGTAAGCATTTCAGTATTAATTGACAGTAATCAGTTTTCAAATGAATAAACGGGTTAAGTTGTGTTGATAAATTTCTGAAACCACCCTGGCATTTGCGGGGATTAAATGCAAGTTTGCACTATGTCCATTGTAACATTGTTATCCGAATAATTTTAGTCATGACAAACACAGACAGTACGGACGATAGTAACGACTGAAACCTAATTTATTTTAGGAAATGGCTATAGGCACCCCTTTCACCCCCGTTATCTATAGGCACCCCCTTTCGCACCCACTTAGACTATAGGCACCCCCTTTTCGATTAATTAATCTCTGCACCCCGTCGTGTGCGAAAGCTATAGGCACCCCCTATTGTCCGTTGCTATGTTTTAAGGTCGAATTTTGTTTTGTCGCACACACCCGAATTCAGGACGAAGTTGACGCCGGAATGGGATGCGTGCAGGTGTTGTATGGCGCACATCATTTTGTTTTGTCACATAAGCGACAAGGTGACCCGTTCGTCACCGTATACAACAGCCTGGACCCCGCGCTTCCGGAGCATATCTTCCTTCAGTTATCCATGCTCTATGGACGCGAAACGCGTGATGTGAACATTAGGCTTCCGGTTGTGCAGCGCCAGTTGCCTGGCACGAATCAATGCGGGCCACTGGTCTGCGCTTGGCAGTGTGAAATTGTGCAAGGGCACAGGCCAGAGAACGCAGTTTTCACAAAAGCTGCCACCCACCGTGCATGGCTAGCAGAGGTTATAGAAACTGAAATCCTGCTAAGATGCCCAAAACGCGTCGGACGGAAACCAGCGAACGAGCAACCCATCCAAAAGGGCGATATTGTCGTGCGCGTGGAAGATGCCATGCGCATCGATCTATGCTGGCCGATCAGCCAAACCGGCCAATTGTCGGATGGAGTGCCTAACATACCTTTCTTTTTTGAATGCGTGACCTAATTATGTCAGAATGTCAGATCGTCAAAATATTTTGTGAAACAAAACAACTGTCAAAACATTGTGGCAGTCTTCTGGGAAAAAAGTTTAAAAATGGGTGCCTATAGTCCGCGGAAAAAAACGGGGTGCGAGAATTATCTAATGGAAAAGGGGTGCCTATAGTAAAACAGGGTGCAAAAGGGGGTGCCTATAGCAAACGGGGGTGAAAGGGGTGCCTATAGTCTCACCCTTTATTTTATTTGAACAATCACGAGACTGGACGAATAGTAAACTGTGTCCGTTTGGCATGGAACTTTGTTAATGTATCGATAATAAAGCGGTTAGGGCTTTGGTCACCGCATATTGGTGTTTCCGTAAATTATGTTAATCAGCATAAATTATATTAAATCTACCCTTGTTATGCATAAAAACCGAAGACACGTAGTCTGGGCGTGCCGTGCAAAAAGAAATAATGTATCAATGTAACGGCCTTCGTTGTGTTCTGTGGAGTTCGTTTACCCGGCACTCGGCGAGAGTGAAAGCGAACGGGCGTTACATTCTTGTTCTCGCCGAACTGAGCGACATACAATGTCCGTTGATTAATAATTGCACCTAATTACAATTAATCCGGCAAGCAATAACAACTCAATGATTATGATGTCTATGTAACGAAGTTTGTCGCGGGTACAAATTTAGTGAATTCGGAAAATTAATTGCAGTGTTCTTGACCGATTAATAAAATCTGACTCCAATTAACCAAAACTGCATTGTACTTAGCTTGTGTATTTTAGGCGCATTGGGCGATAACAGCAAGTGCACAGTGAAATGGGTGGATGACGATGGAAATCCTTGTCAACCGCGTACGTAATTCGCAGTGAATAGATTACAGTACAAGTACGGAAAATTGTTTCAGTCGTAAAATATTATTGAACATGGTATCAATGTGGCAATAAAACTATTACGGATACTCGTACAATAATAATGAAACAGACTACAATAATTAGCGCTAAACAGCATTACAGTAATCAACACCATTACCGGCACAGTAATTGCATTAGTTAGTATTTAAGCATGTGCAGTGATAATTAAATTGTCATAGATACTGTATATCGTTGTTCGAGCTTGTCGCATTTAATACTCGCATTTAACGCAGTTTGTTTATTTACAGAGACCGACAAGTCTATTGACGCAAGTGATACATCAGGTACATTATACTGACAATGTTCGACAAACATAAAGTACTGAACTAGCCAGACGCTGGCCAATTTGATATACGTAAACATTCGTAGCATACAGTACATTTTTTGCTCTAATACGAAACTGTCGTATCAAGAGCTGCAAAATTCAGGATACATACTCACGTTTCTCATAAAAACAGTTTGCGAAATTCCCAAAGTAAAACTAATATGGTTGGCAAAAAGAATTCACTTTTACGAAAAACGGGATAGAATGTTGTTTTTTTCAAATTTTGGCACAGTTACCGATAATGTGGACAGTACGACGACGTCCACGACGGTGCTGGTTAAAGACACTGTTACCGACTCATCGACAGCCGTCCAGACCATCTCCCACACCATCAGCCTTACGTACACCGCGGACTGGCAGCGAGCGGCGTTACTGCAACGAATTCTGGCTGTTTGGCAGCCTATATTAAGTAATGTATTTGCCATCTCATCAGTTTTCTGGAGCCTTGCAAATTAACCGGTGTTTCGCACTGAACAGCGGCCAAAGATGCGGTCAACGTCCGCATCGAGCTCGACTCGGATAAACCGGGAGCGACCGTCAATGTCCATCGTGGTGTACAATGTCATCTTCTCGGGTTTGAGCACCCAGATCAACCTGAACGATGTGGCCGGACAGTTCCTGGCTAAAATGCAGGAGACGCCCATCGCCGATGTGGCCCTGATTCCCGGTGGAGCATTCAGCAGTCAGTTACTCGTCTTCTATTCGCGCATCCTGCAAAGCTGTATGCTATAATAAACAGCGGGTTTCTTTAGGCAACACCATTGTTAAAACAACCATGGCGACGCAGACCATTACCGACAACATCGTCCTAAGCTATACGACGGAGACCGAGCGCGATCGACTGCTGGAGGCTATCCTCATCATCTGGAAATCCGTTCTCGGTAAATTCTTATCCGAACACTTAGCAGTGGTGACCTTTTATTAAAAGCTATTAGCCATATAAAACTAGGTAGTTTTCTTTGTTTCTGCAACCGGTCATCCTGAGATTGTAGCTTCTAAATGCGGCGTTAAGAGACTATCCCATTCCAATCCGTAAAACATCCACAACCAGCTTTTGACGTTTTATAAGAAGCTATCAGCTGTACGTTAGCATGTGGCTGTCTGATGCTTTCAAGAACGTTTTTCGCTGCCCAGTGAACTCTCCTTGGTTAAGATCCACTCTGAGTACTGGAATCATTACAGAACGCTTCCATATCACGGATGTCCGCATCGAGTTCGTTCACGCCAAACTCCCGGCGCCGGGTCAAACCAAGATCACCGTGACCTATCACATCATCTTCACCGGGCCCAAGTTGACCATCAGCGTCAACGATCTCCTCATCAGTTTCCAGACGGCGTTCCAGGTGAAACCGATTCTGGGCGTGACGCTCATTCCTATGACCGACACGATGGCCGGTACGCTTATTATGATTGCTCTCTATCACTCTACGTCGTTTTAAGGAAGAGTTTGTGGATAGGTTCCGTGCAGAGTCTCATTGATTCCATCGGTGTTAGCTACACGACGGAGGACGAACGTAATGCCAAACTGCAACAGATCTTCTCCATTTGGAAAGTGATTCTTGGTACGCAGATGAGGCAGCCGACATGATGTAGCGCATTTTAACCAATATGACGTTCTGCAGGAAGATTCGGCTACGTTAACCCGGAAATCACGGTCATCAGCGAGAAACCGTTACCGGGGAAGATTCTCACGTACAAAATCACCTATAAAGGCGGCACCATCGATATCGCTCAAGTGTGGTACGAGTTCGAGAAGACACTGAAACAAAAATACGTTCCGGGAATTATCACCATTAACCAATACGAAGGTACCATAAAAGCACCCTCAACTGACTGGCAGATTTTCAATGTTGGTTTTTGCAGATACAACGACGACCACGGAATCGCCGGTGGTAACCACTGAAGTAACGATTACCCACAAACCTCCGGCCGTCACCACTACCACCGAAGGGTGGCACACGCCCTTGTGCTGGACCTTACCGCCCAAAAAGGTCAAGACAACAACCGCTCCTCGGCAAAGGACAACGGTTCCATTGGTGGGTACCACGACAACGCCGACCGGAGAACTGGTAACGACGGAGGTACCGGAAGTGACAACTACGACGGAGGTATCGGAAGCGACAACCGCCCCAGCGGTAACGACGTCGCGCGAGGCGTTGACGACTACGCCGCCGCTGAAGATGTGCTGGACACTGTCTCCGAAATCCTCGACAGCCAAGCCAGCCGTTACCACTCCCAAATTCTTTGTAACCACGGTCAGCGAGGCCGAGACCACGACGCCGGAAACGCCGGTGGAGGAAACCACCGCTCCTGTTATTTGCTGGACTATTCCGCCTCGATCCAGCACGACAACACCGGAAGGCGAGGGGAGCACTGCTCCGCCAGTAGCTTCGACCACACCGGAACACGAAACGACCACCCCATCGGCTGAAGAGACAACCACGCCGTTAGGTGCAGTTACCACAACAGGACGGTGGACGTTACCGCCACGCATCCGTACCACGACACAACCTGAAGTGGTTACAACGGAGGCGTCAGAAGTAACGACTACGCCGGGCAAAGTGGTAACTCAGCCAACACTTCCACCCAGAATTCAGACAACAACAAGTAATGAGGTCGTTACAACGGAGGTGCCGGAAGTAACGACTACTCCAGGCGAAGTGGCCACTCGACCGACACCGCCTCCGAAAATCCAGACAACAACAAGCAATGAGGTGGTTACAACGGAAACACCAGAAGCAACGACTACGCCAGGCAAAGCGGTAACTCAACCGACACTGCCACCAAAAGTGCAGACAACCACCGCAAACGAAATCGTAACCACAGAGATACCAGAAACGACTACCACCGAAGTCGTCCCACAAATTACCACCACACCACCGTCACCGATAAAAAGCACAACAGCGCCGATAAAGATGTGCTGGACGCTGCCACCAAAGACCACAACGAAGAAACCAGCTACGACAACGCCGAAGTTTTTCGTTACCACGGTGGCCGAAGCAGAAACTACAACACCTAAAACTCCGGTGGAGGAAACCACTACACCGATGATTTGCTGGACGCTACCGGTGAAAACTACCACGACGACGCCAAAAATCGAACATTTGACCACACCAGGCGCAGTTAAATCTACTACTGCGAAGCGTGTAACGGCCACGTTACCGGTTACCATTCGCAGAATCCGTACCACCACAACCCGGGAAGTGGTCACCACGGAAGTTGCGGAAACGACAACGCCAGAAGTGACAGAAAGCACAACGACAAAACCAGCGGTAACGACAAGACAGCAAACGGTACCAATACGTGATGGTACCACCTCGCCGACTGAAGCGGTTACTACAGAGGCACCGGAAACGACGACCACGGAAGCGAAACAGACAGTGACACCGGTGCCGGGCAAGACGACAACTACCAGAAAACTAGCTGAAACAACAACTAAAACCATGTTAACAGCTACACCGAACCGCATTACCACAGCTGTACCGTGGACATTACCGCGGATTCGCACTACGACCCCTGCAGAAGTGATAACCCCAGAGGTTACTGAAGCCACAACGCCCGAGGTGACAGAAAGCCCTACTACGGCCCTGTCAATCGTTACGACAGCGAAACCAGAAGTCTATACTACAGAAAAGCCAGAGGTTACCACACCGGAAATTCCTGTGGAAAGTACCACCAAACTAATTCAACCTGTTACCACTACACCGCCCATCAAGATTTGCTGGACCTTGAAACCGAAACCAACGGCTGGAGCTAGCACACCGGGACCTGTTGCCACCACACCGAAATTTTTCGTTACCACAACCGAAAATCCGGTTGAAGAAGAAAGCACCACCCCGATAATCTGCTGGACCGTCCCACCAAAGGTCACTGCTACACCTGCAGTGGAAACAACTACGTTACCAACTGAAACCACTGAGGTGGTTCCCTCCGTAACCACCACAATTCCATCGCGTGAGCAAGTAGAAACGACAACAACCGAAATCCCGGAAATCAGTACCACCGAAAAACCGGTTATTTCCACGGTTGCCAAAGCGGTAACAACGCGACCCACACCGGCCACAACGCGATGGACACCAAAATCTGTAACCACTGTGAAACCCGTAACTCTTCCGCCGCTGAAACCAACTACCACTACAGAAGAAGTCGTGACAACCGAACGAACGCAGGGAACAACGGTGCGACCACAACCGACGACGACACCGACGTTTCAGCTGTGTTGGACACTGCCACCACGCACTACCACTCGCGCAACACAGCCAGCAGAAACTGTTACTGCTACGGAAAGCACTACCACCGAAGCCGAGACAACTACCGAAGCGCCGACAACCGTTGCAGCGCCGGTTACCACGACCGCGAAATCTACCTTAGCGCCTAAAACGACGATAAAACCAACGGTACCAGCTGGAACGGCGGCGAAGATCTTCATCCGCACGACGACCGAGCAACCACCCACACCGGCAACAGCGCCACCGGTTTTATGTTGGACTTTGCCACCCCGCACTAAAACGTCAACTGTTAGAAGGACAACCGCAGTTACGGAGAAGCCAACCACGGAGCTCCCGGAAGTGACCACACCGGAGGTTACCGTAACGCCCACTACCACTACACCGGCGGTGAAACCAGTAGTGACCACCAAACGCTGGACACTTCCACCCCGTGTAACCACATCCTTAAAAGAAACTACGACCACGGAGTCACCAGAAATTACTACCACCGAAGCACCGGCATTCAGCACCACCAAGCGCGTCCAGCCACCAGTAAGCACTGCAACACCACCGATTAAGATCTGCTGGACTCTAACGCCGAAACCGTCATCGGATACAACTACGCCGTCGGCTGCCGTTACCACACCTAAGTTCTTCATTACCACCGTAGCCGAAAGCGAGACCACGACTACCGAAACCCCGGTGGAAGAGGGTACCACCACACCTGTTATGTGCTGGACCGTTCCTCCGAAAGCCACCACCGCGCAACCGATTGGTACAACGACACCAGTTACACTGCCATCAACAGTTCCCAGAATTCGCTCTACCAAGCCCGCGCAGGTTACAACTACGGAAGTGTCTGAAGAAACGACCACGCCAGCCAATGTTGTGACAACCGAGGCACCAGAAGTAACTACCACACCTTCAGAAGTGGTAACCACAGAAGCTCCGGTGGTAACTACTACCGTACCGGAAGTGGTGACCACCGAAGTCACCGTACCGTCCATTACCACAACCAATGGGAGACCAGTAGTGACCACCAAACGCTGGACACTTCCGCCCCGCGTTATCACTACCACCCAGCAGATTACGACCACCGAGGCACCAGAAATTACTACTACCGAAGTACCGGCCGTCAGCACCACCAAACGCGTCCAGCCACTGGTAACCACAGCAAAACCACCGATTAAGATTTGCTGGACCCTTACACCGAAACCGTCGTTGGATACAACTACGCCGTCGGCGGCGGTTACCACACCGAAGTTCTTTGTTACCACCGTCGCCGAATCCGAAACTACCACCCCTGAAACTCCGGTGGAAGAGGGTACCACCACTCCGGTTATGTGCTGGACCGTTCCGCCGAAAGCTACCACCGCAAAACCAATCGGTACAACGAAGTCGGTTACACTGCCACCGACTGTGCCCAGGATTCGAACGACCACGCCCACGGAAATAGTAACTACGGAAGTACCGGAAGAAACTACCACGTTGCCAAGCGTCGTGACCACCGAAGTTCCGGAAGTCACGACTGCACCGCCAGAAGTGGTAACCACAGAAGCACCAGTCGTAACTACACCAGCGGAAGTGTTGACCACCGAGGCGCGACTGGTGACCACCACTCTAACAAATACCACCCCGGAAAAACCCGAAATAACTACCACGACAACTAAACGTGCGACAACGGTAAGATGGACGGTCCCCCAACGGTTACCAACCACAACTCTAAAGGAAGCAACGACGACGGAAATTCCGGAGGTAACTGCCACGGAAATACCATCAGCAGCTACGACAAGGCCCACGCAACCAGGCAAAGGGACCACGGCAACACCACCGATCAAAATGTGTTGGACATTACCGCCCAAAACTTCGACACCAAAACCGGCGACTACCACCTCGAAATTTTTCGTTACGACGGTGGCGGAAACGGAGACGACCACGCCAGAATCACCATCGGAAGAAACCACCACGCCGATGATTTGCTGGACGCTTCCGGCTAAAACTACCACCACCACTCCGAAACTCGCAAAGACAACAGCACCCTTGTTGGTAACTACGACACCCGCCGTTCCTCGCTCAACGGTACCACCGTGGACGTTACCAAGAATGCGTACGACGAGACCGCCGGAAGTGGTCACCACCGAGGTAACGGAGACCACAACCCCGGAGGTAACAGAAAGCACCACAGTGAGAATCCCACCGGTTACACCGACACAGAAGCAAACAGCGTCCAAACCATCGACATTACCACCACGGATCACCACGACAACCGAGGCACCAGAAACAACCACAACCGAAGTTGCAGTTGTAACTACAGCTCCTAAAGTTCTGTCAACCACGGCGCCAATAAAGATATGCTGGACGCTCACACCAAAAACCACAACAGCCAGGCCTGCTACAACTACCCCCAAGTTTTTCGTCACCACGGTGTCGGAAACGGAAACCACGACACCGGAAACTCCTCTTGAAGAGACCACCACGCCCGTGATTTGCTGGACAGTTCCGCCAAAGGTGACGACCGCCCCTCCAGTTGTTACCACCGTGCCGTCGCGGGAACTCGTAGAAACAACAACACCGGAACTTGCGGAAACCACCACGACGGAGGCGCCATCTATCCCGACCGTAAAATCCACGGTCGCGACGAACCGCCCAGTGGTGACCACTAAATGGACGCTGCCACCGAAAGTCGTAACAACCGCCACTGCAGCCAGGACTACCACAACGGAAGCCGAAGAAGTTACCACGACCACCGAGGAAATACCTTCAACTACAGTGGCTCCAGTCGCAACGACGCGTGCCACGGTGAAACCGCTGGTTACCACCAAGAAACCCGAAGTCACCACAACGGCTGCACGGATCGGCACTACAACGTACCAGTTATGCTGGACATTACCACCTCGCACCACCACACAGCAAGTGGCAACAACGACCGAGGCTGAGGTAGTGACTACGACGGAAGTACCACCACCCCCAGCAACCAAAACTACGCAATTCAAGGCAACGGTACAGCCACGAACAACAACTCCCAAGGTGTTCATTCGAACCACAACGGAGCAGCCACCCACACCTGCCACCGTGCCGCCTGTGATGTGTTGGACACTGCCACCGCGAGCAACAACCAAACCATCGGTGACGTTACCTCCAGTTACAAAACCAGCAACAGCTAAACCATTGTTCACGACCGCTCCACCAAAGGTCACGGTGACGGAGGCAGTGACCACCGAGATCCCTGAAACGACCACTCCTGAAGCGACGAATACGGTAACTCCAATTCGATCTGTAACCACTGCGCCGACGGTAACGGAAGTTACTACACCGGTGGTAGCAGAAACCACAACCACCGAATTGTCACCCGCAACAACGACTCAGTCGTCTAGAACGGTAACGCCTGCGACCAAAATCTGCTGGACATTGACACCGAAACCGTCCACTCGGGTTCCGCCTGTGGCAACGACACCCAAGTTCTTCATTACGACAACCGAGTCACCGGTTCCCGAATCAACCACCCCGGTAATCTGTTGGACAGTCCCACCGAAAACCGCAACCCCGCCACCAGTTTCGACAACAGCACGCTGGACGCTGCCGAAGGTTCGGACGACCGCGCCGCCGGAAATCGCTACCACTGAAGTCCCGGAAACAACTACCACCGAGGCGACTGAACCGACCACCAGTAAGTTACCTGTCACTACCACATTGAAACAGATAGTAACCACGAAATCATGGACTCCGCCGCCGCGAGTCATTACCACCACTCAAGCGGTAATCGTCACTACCGAAGTTCCGGAAACAACTACCACCGAGGCGACCGAAATAACCACCAGGAAGCCACTTCTCACTACCACACCGAAACAAGTAGTAACCACTAAATCATGGACTTTGCCGCCACGAGTCGTTACCACCACTCAAGCGGAAATCGTTACCACGGAGAAACCAGAGGGCACCACCACGGAAGCGATAATCCCAAGCACAACCAGTAAAATACCGATTGCCACAACAACCCCGCCGGTTAAGATTTGCTGGACGTTAACTCCCAAGACAACCTCGGTATCAGGAACCACTCCGCGACCGGTCGCCACAACCCCGAAATTTTTCATCACAACGACTCCCCAATCTTACGAAGAGTCGACCACCCCGGTCATCTGCTGGACAGTACCACCAAAGGTCACCGTAACCGCCGAGGCAACCACAACAACTCCGGCCGTCGATACCACGGAATTCGTTCAGACCGAGAGAACAACGGTACCGTCTCGAGATTTGGTGGAAACGACCACACCCGAGACGCCAGAAACCTCCACCACCGAGGCGCCAAGCGTTACGACCACCCGACCAGCGGTGGCAACTACGAGAAAGACTTTGCCTACCTTCAGATGGACGCTACCACCAAAAGTAGTCACAACACCAGCGAGAACTACCACGACGACCGCAGGAAAGACCACCAAGAGACCGATCCCCGTTACCACCCCGGCGAACCAGGTGACCACCAAGGCGACCGTGAAACCGACTACGCCGACGTACCAATTATGCTGGACACTGCCGCCACGGACAACCCCCACCAAAACGCAGACGACCACCCCTGGAAAAGTTATGACAACCACCAGTGAAGCGGAGACAATAACAACGACGGAAATTCCTGAAGTAACTACCCAGGCAAGAGGGACGCTCCCGCCCAGGACGACGACTCCGAAGGTGTTTATCCGTACAACAACGGAACAGCCTTCCCCGCCAACGCCAGCAACGGTACCGTCGGTTCTCTGCTGGACGCTGCCGCCACGGACCGCGAAGATGACAACGGCGCGACCACTGACGACAGCGTCGACTGTTGTAAAGGAAAAGCCGCCGGTGACCGCCGCGTCCACGGTAAGCAACCAGGCGCGGAAAAAAACCGCACAGAAAAATTAATCAGTGTTAACAGGAGGTCAACAACCGTATTTAGCCAGCAATGACGAAGTGAAAACGCAAAAGGGCTGAGCGGCAAAAGGGCTCCAGTCAATGGCAGCTTAGTCGCACGTACGGGTCGTACATGTCGTACGAATTGCATTTAAAGTTTTCGATAAATATAGATTTAGTTTTAGCACTGTATTTGGCTGGTGAAAACGTAACCTTTGTAGAATAATCAAGTATAAACAGAATAGTTGCCAAGTTTAAATAGTCTGTCATTTCAAAGGCAGTCAAAGTAGCTGCGACTAAGCAGCATTTCACCAGTGTCAATGCCGAAATGTCGACGAAAGTTTTTAATGGTCAAAAGCCTTTAGAGTTTTTACTCATGCTCCAAAATCTTAGCCTATCGCGCTGTACATGTTTTACAGTACTCGTATACTAATTTGTCAAATTCAATCTTTAATACTTACCAAAAAGCGCTTCTTTCCATTAGATTCCAACCACGCGGGCAAAGACACTGCCACCATGGACACCATGGAAACTGCGCACCACAACTCCCGGTTACAAAGAAACCACAATCACCGAGAGAGTAACCACTGAAGTACCCATCATTACCACCACCGAAACCGTAGAAACTACAGCCACAGCCGTCACTATTACTACCCCGAAACCGGTGGCATCCACCGCCACCACCCGCATCTGCTGGACCCTGCCCCCGCACGCGGCCACAACGCCGTCACCCACCCGCACAACCCTTCCCAAGGTCTTCGTGACCAGCACCCCGCGAACGGAAGAAGAGAGCACCACGCCCATGATCTGCTGGACGGTTCCGCCGAAAACAACCACCCAAGCGCCGGGTACCACGAAAGCCAAGGAGGTCGTAACCACGAAGAAACCATGGACGCCATGGAAGGCAGTTACAACGACACTTGGTTGGCGCGAGAGGACGACAACCCCGATTATGGAAACAACTACTCCGGTCGAGGAAGAGACGACGACTACAGCGCCGGCTACGTTAGCTACCAAGTTTGTCTGGACGCCAAAACCAGCATTGACGACCACAAGAAAGGCACCGGTGATAACAACAGCAGCGAGAGTTGTAACGACGCCGTTACTAGGAGCAACGACAACAATTCCTAAAGCCGTTACCACGCCACCGATTAAAATTTGCTGGACGATGCCGCCAAAGCGTCAACAACGACAACCACGCCACCGAAAACGAGCACTCCAAAACTGATCATAACCACCACGGAAGCACCGTTACCAACCACTACACCCATGCTGTGCTGGACGATCCCGCCTAAGAAAACAGATGCCACCACAACTCCCTCGGAAGTCGTCACTACCGAGGCGCCACCCGTTACTATCCCGGCAACGGAACCAGCAGTTACGGAAACACCGTTACCGGAAGCCACAACAAAATTGGCCGCGGCAACGACAACTCGAGCATCAGTAGTTACATCGACAGTGAAACGGACATTACCGCCACTAACACCCTGGAAAGTAACCACAACACCAAGCCTTAGATTTAAAACGACCACACCACACCCATTACCACCGGTGACCACCGTGCGGGTTACGCCACCGATCACCACTTCGCCAACTGAACAGGAAAAAACAACCCCGGAGGTTCCGGAAGTCACTACCATTCCGTCAAAGGTCACGACTCCGTTGACGCAACTCTGCTGGACATTACCACCTCGCATCAAGACCACCACCGAGGTCCCGGTGACGGACACTCCGGTTCCAGTGACAACGAAGAACCTCGTACCGCTAACGACGACCCGCAAACCGGTTATCATTGTTACCAAACCAAAGACCCAAAAAGCACTAGAGACAACTACCAAGTATGCTTCAAGAATACATGTCAAAAGCCCTATGGATTAACTAGGTTGTTTTCTTCCCGTTAGGTCTGTACTTACCGAAGCATCAACAGTACCCGAACTGCAAACTACCACCACGGAGTACCTTGAGGAAACCACACCGGGCAAACCGACGCAACCGCCCGCGATCGCCACCACCACACAGAAGGTCTTCATCCGAACGACCACCATGCCATGGTCCCCAGCGACCCAACCGCCTGTCTTGTGCTGGACATTGCCTCCACGCACCAAGAGCCCAAGCACCACGACGCAACAATCCCCGCCGCCGGAAACCGTGACCCCAGAGGTCGTTACGGATATCCCTACTAAGGTAACTGATTTATTTCCCGTAGGGTGACAATCACAAGTCGTCGTTCAGGAGTATCCTAAAAGCTTCTTTGTCGACATAGCCTCGTACCCAACCACCTACCCGTCCAGTGGTGACCTTGGCCCCAAGCACCCGCTCTCGACTCTACACCGAGCTGATCGGCGCCACCGAGACCGAACCGACGATCACGATCCCACCGCCCACACCACCGCCAGCGGCGACTACCGTCAGCCGCCTGCGGGTGACCACGACGCCGACGAGGATCTGCTGGACACTGCCTCCGAAGCGCGCCACCACGCCGGGCTACCCCGAGTCCCCGACCACCCCGGCGCCGTTGAGCGGCACGACGCTGTGTTGGACGCTACCACCGAAACCGACGACCCCGCCTCCGGTGACGCCTTCGGGACGTCCGACAAGGCCACGCCGTAGATCGCTTTTTGACAGGAGATAATTTTTTTTTAACTTGAACCGTGATCCCGGTTTTGCTCAACGAGTGCACATAGGTTTTACATAGGATTGCACATAAGATTTCTGTAAATTTATGTACAGGTGTTTTCTGTACAGTAATAATTCGTGATAACATGTATAATACACATATTTTGCATTGTTCAGTAATATTTTAATTACGCTACTATTGCGCAGTTTATTTGCCAATGCGAATATGTTTACGGGGCGTAATTCAGCAGCATAGTAAAAACAATAAAAAAAATTCATTATAACTCTGCCGGAATGGATAAACCAGTTACCTATTAAATCTGGCACGTGCATCTTCTCACAGCACAATCGTTCCAAATAAAAATATAGTGTCACCGTTTAAGAACAAATTACAGATACTTCTAGTGCAAGCACAACGGAACCCACAATACTCTGTACACGGCAAAACCTTACTTATTTATTAGGGCGTTTGGCTGGCTGCAGATTCGGACAAAACACATACATGTACAGTATTAAATACGCTTGTGCCTCAGCGCTTTCAGTGCGTTAAAAAAATGGCTTTATGCTATTACAAAAGTATTCTCAAAATGGCTTTTATGGTATTAATTTAACTGTTAAATAACAAAAACTACACGTGGTAAGGTCAACCAGTTCATCGCTGCATTACTCGAAGCTTACTTTGCGTTAATATCCAATTCTCTAAACTGGGCAACCAGAAGTGTTTCTCCGGTAGTCATCATTTTAGCTGCTTTGTTCGGCAGATGGATTGTTTGCGACGATTAATGCGCAGAATGACAAAAATGCTACGAGTATATGATGTAAATGATAGACGTTCCGGCTCCCCTTGCAACTGGTTACGCATTGCGGTTTCCCTGGTATGGCGGGTTCACAGATATATCTGTACGTATTCCATGGTTGTACACGTACTGGCAAAATTAAGTGTATGCCCACTTACTAATCGGTACCATTAGCCTTAATTTCTTGTTCACTTATAATATCAACCGAGAACAACACAATGAAACTTTAGTATCTTAGTGGCGCTTTTTCCTGCTTTGCATAGGTGGCGCACCGACGCTCAAGATCTGAGAATGCATTTTTGTTACTACCGAATTTCCTCTTTTCAAAAACCGGCAACCCATATTAAATAGAGAGTTTCCAAAACATAGCGTCATACTCTTGATTTCCAACAATAACAGGCATCAGGCACTGCATATTTAAATTTTTTTTGCCGTTAATAAGGGCTTTAAAATTTTGGATTTGATTTAGGCGGCAAATTACCGGAAGCACCCGGAAAGACACACCCATGACAGGCGTCTAATGACCTTTAAATAGAAATAATCGCAAAATATTGTGCTCGAAAAGGGGACTATCTATCTTGCGTTCAGATCGGGAAAGCAGGCGGCCGTTGAGCATTCAGGAAAGATTATTGGGCTGCGCACTGCCCGAAATCCGCAGTGAAGAAGACATTCGTCATGGTCCCTGCGGCTACAGCGGCTTCAAAGAGCTTGGCCACGGCTGCTGTGTTGAACGTGGTCGTGGCCACACCGCTGATATTATAGGTGACCTTATTCATAATAATTCCTGTCAGCGTTTTGCCCACGTTGATTTCTTCGCTAACGTAGCACATCTTTAAGTTGGTGGCTTGGTTGTCTGCAATAAACATATCCTTTGCCATTTGATAGGGTTCTTGTAAAGGTCACACTTTCTCTTACCCAAAATATCACCCCAGACGGCCAACAGCAGCTGCAGCAAATCGTTGCGGATGGTTGTTGTTTTGTACGTTAAGTACACGGTGAACGAGGCGGTGAAGGATCCACGATCTGAAAAACCACCGCTAAAATGTAGGATTACGTCACAATGCGTATATTTATTTTTGGACGTACAGACAACTTTTCCGTTGATCTGGTTGATGCTAATTTTTCCGCACACTTTCTTTTCTATAAAGAACATGACACGTTTAGTTCATATTGGCAGTGGGGACGTGTGATTGGATACCGTTACCCGGTGTTTCGGTGACTGAAGTGTCGGGCGTTGTAACATCCGGTTCCGGCGTCCGGGATTCCGGGGTCGCCGGTGCCGGTGTTTCTGGTTCGGGAGTGGGTGGAGCTGGAGTTTCGGGGGCCGGTGTTTCTGGCTCCGGTGTCGGCGGCGCTGGGGTTTCTGGAGCCGGAGTTTCGGGTTCCGGTGTTGGCGGTGCTGGTGTCTCAGGAGCTGGGGTTTCAGGAGCCGGGGTGTCGGGCTCCGGCGTGGGCGGAGCTGGAGTTTCAGGAGCTGGAGTTTCCGGTTCGGGTGTCGGTGGAGCCGGAGTTTCAGGGGCCGGCGTTTCCGGCTCCGGTGTCGGCGGGGCATCGGTGGGTGGAATTGTGGCGTCGCTGGATTCGGTGCTCTCACTACTGCTGCTGCCAGGTGTGGTCTCGTCGCCTTCATCCACGGTTATAATGATGCCGGTAATGTGGGCGCTGAACAGGATCTTGCGGAAACTGATGATCAGGTCGGGGATGTTAATGGTAACGGTGCTGGTACCGGTGATACGGAACTTGATCAGGAATAAACCGTTGGATAACCGCGTCGTGGTGACGACGGTGATTTGCGGGTTTTGAATTCCATATCTGATACCTAAATGAAATTGTGAAATATACCGAATGATCGCCAATAAAATATACTGAAGCGAGTCACCGTAAGTTTGGATCCATAATTTCAGGATTTGCTGCAGCAGACGATCGCGCTCGATCGTCGTGGTGTATTTCAGCGTTACCGTGCTTTCCAACGTGAACGTATCTGTAACATTTCCAATAACTGGTTCCAAATTTATGAAATGAAAAACAAATAAATTAAAATTTTTCGTACGTATGGTTTCGGACGGCAGCTCAACGCCGATAATGTGCGAAATACGGATCTGCTGCTGCAGTTGCTGGCTGAGATCGTTGACGTCGATGCGGATGGTGGTTTGTCCACTGATACGGAATTTGAGCAGTTTCATGCCGGGTACGACGGAAGGCCGTTCGGAGATCACTTCGATTTTCAGGTTGGTGAAAGAGTATTTAGCTGTAATATTAACGTAGGATTACAAAGGTAACTTCGCTTGTGGATGTAGTTAAAGCCAGTATAAGATGTAGAAATTATTATCAGTTAAGTCTTTACCGAATTTCGTCCGGAACAGGTTAAGGATCTGCTGCAACATGCGATCACGCTCGGTTAGTGTGGTGTACCGGAAATTGGCTTCCACATCAATATTGATAGTGTAGACCGCTGAAATATAGAACATTGCATCATGATTTAATCGGACAATGTGGAAGCTGTACAGAGTAAAAATCGATGGATCAGCTGTAACAATTATTCGCCAAACAAATATATAAAAAGTAACACTGTGTCTATACGTATCGCATGTACATACGTACTACGTACGTATGTACAAGTGTATACTGTATAATAATAATAATTATTATTATGGGTGTCACCATGTTCGTACATTTTCATGGCATACTGTTAGGCTAAGACATGCACTGCTTGAAGTATATGTAAGCCCATGGCGGCTAGTAAATTTATCAATAGTGTCAGTGCTTAAATAATCCGGTGGCTAATGTTGATTTCGAAAAACACTTTCCGGTGAAGCAATTCGGTGCCGTTGTATATCATTGTCACTAGGTTAAAAAATAGGATTCGCAATAGTCTTCTTACTTTGGGATGTTTTTCGGGACAGTGTCATCTGGACACCGGGAATGTTGGCCTGCGTGAGGATCGTCTGGAAGCTGGCCACGATGGACTGGAGGTTGGTGCCGGTGGGGCCTTTGCCGCTGATCTTGAAGGTGATCTGTTTAAATTCATCGAAGCCCGCCGGCGCCGGTTTTTCGCTGACGACCTTGATCTGCTCGTCGGTCAGACTGAACTTGGCTGCAATGTGTCAGATTGTTATGAGATTTAGCGGCCGGCTTCTTCGTTCCGTAATTATTTATAATCCCCATAAGCAAAACGTCGGCAAACAAGCGGCTTTGGCACGATAACGGCACGTTGCATAAATCGTCGTAATTATGTGTTAATTGGCCATACCGGCTTCTTTGATAATCGCTAATGACTGTAATTACCATTAAAGGATGATTTCCATAAATCCAGTATCTGCTGCAATAAGCTGTCGCGTTCGGCCGTGGATTTATATGAGAAATAAGTTGTCACGTCGATTTGCCAGGAAATCGTTCCTGAGTAAAACAGAACAACAAATAATCTTTGAATCCTCGATGTTCCGAGGGAAGATTTTCCTGTGTGTACCTGTGACCACCCTGTTGAAAACGGCCGCATCGCTGCCTCCCGCCAAAAACTGCAAGAACATAAGACTGATAACATGTTTTAATTAACTAACAATTATTCAAGCGTCAGCGATAGATTAATAGGCGCTACTTGCACTACTAAAACAGTTAGGCAGGTTTTATGATTTTTGATCGGTAAATAACATAGAAAAGTACTTTAAAAATTTAATGCAAGAACTCATTACCTGCGCAATAAGTAGTACAACTCCAGCTAGCATCATTTTTGTTGATGTGTACTGGACACGAATGGCTGACGACTTTTAATGCACACACGACAACAACAGCAAACAGTCGCTTTATATACAAACAGCCGCCGCCGTATTGAGCTAAAAAATTTTATAAGAGCTGTGCAGTCTTGCCTGCAGTTAACACACCTTGCAGTCAAATTTCCATTGCAAAATGACATACGAGGGTGTGATCTAATAACCAACGGATTATTTCTGTCTACATTAACTTGATCATTTCGATGCTTATGCAACTGATGAAGCGCAATATATGCTGCAATTTGGCATACCTTATGGTGAGATTGTAATCTCTGCTGAGCATAATTGCTCCGAAACGGATTACTAACAGCAAAGATAATCACTGGCGGTACCAGTTGATCGACTATTAAATTATGTTGTTGTTGTATTTTTGCCGGTTCCAGGTTGTTTTTATAAAGCAGCAGACTTTTTGTGTGGCCGTTGTTTTTATTTGTACGTATTAACAAATCGATGGCCCCGCCCTCACCGGCGTCTGGAACTTTTGTTTCATTAACTCAATATCTTTCAAAAAAAGATTTTCTTTTCGGAAATTTGCCTTATTTATTCTTATTTATTTAGTTCAATAAACTTTTAAAATAAATGTAATTTTCTAATGTATAATTCCTTTTGTGGAAGCGAAACTCATTTTTGCATAATTTAAATAACAAAAATAGGCACTTCCCTTGTTAATTAGTTACAAACAAACTCTAGCCGTAGTATTATTTACTTCTCCCTACAGCGGTTGTTATCGCGCATAATAACTGTCTAATTACCGTATTACGCCGGCCATTGTAGCATGAATTAATTACTGTGAACCATAAGGTATTGGCGACAGTACCAGCGTAATCCTTAACCGCAGTAATCATTCATGTACTGTACGTAACTTTGAACCATATTTTCCTGCGTTACCTTGGCGCCGCCCTGGTCTTTCGGGAGTTTGCCCACGCTCATGGCGTCCTTTTCGAATTCGATCTTCAGGTTGGTCACTTGGTAGTCATCTGTACAACGCAAACCAGTCAGAAAGGAGCCGGTATTTTATAAACACATAAATCGTTCTAAAAGCGTTCTTACTCAGGCTATTCCTCCAGATAACCAACAAACGCTGCAAGAAGTTATCCCGAATACCGGTGGTGTCGTAGGCAAGATATACGGTCAATGTCACATCAAAATTTCCAGGTCCTTTGTAGCAGAAACAGTTGCCAGTGAGAGCAAATATTTGTACAAGCGTTTGTCTTCACGTACCGACAGTTTTGCCGTTTTTCTGGTTTTCGCTGACACCGAATTTGCCACCTGTACAATCCTTCATGGTCACCTTGATGTCGTGAACCGGTTAATAGTCCCGCTTACCGTTGTCGTTTTCGGTGACTTTATTGGCGTCGTTGTCTTCGGTGTCTTCGCCGTCATCCGACTCGTTTCCACTGTCATCGGATGCACTGCTGGGCAGTTCCAGATACACACCGGCAATCGGGTGGCTCTTCAGCATCTCCGAGAAACGGGGTGTCTTGGATTTGCCCACGACCTTATCGGTCATCTTGGCGAACATGGTCGTGGTACCGTCGATGGTGAAGTGCACCTGGAAGATGCCTTTAACGCTCGTGGACGATGGTTTACCGACCAGTTGGATCTTCTGCTCGGTCACTTGGTATTCTGTGCCTGTAATCATGGACCCCTTCGTAACTATAGTCATTATTAACGCGGCCATTTTCTGCAAATTTTGATGGGCCCTCACCGAACTTTGCGATCCATACTTTCAGGATCTCATCGAGCTTCTTCTGCAGCTCGGCATCGGTTTTGTATTTGATGAAGAGCGTCAGGTCCAGTTCGAAATCATGAGCTGTAACAAATAAGTACATGTGTCCGCAGTAAGACTGCAGCTGCACGAAAGACGGTTTCTTACCGCCGTCATCATCGCTGGAGCTGTCGTCAGTAGATTCACTGGGCAGATCAGTGGAGATGCCTTTGACATGGCTTTCCTTCAGCATTCCATCGAAGCGGGTTTCCAGTTCCGTCGTGGACAGTGTCGTTTTGGCCCAGAAGGTAATGACGAATTCCACCTGGAATGTTGTCTTGACGCTGGTGGGTTTGGGCGTGCCATACACGTGGATTTCCGAATGCTGGTCTCGGGTCAGTTGGATCGTCGGCCCTGTGCACCAGTTAGCTTATTACGCTTTTGGTAACGGGTTAGAAAATTTGTCATGACGTACCGAAGCTATTCATGAATACAAAGTACACTTGGTTGAGGATGTCCTTGAGTTGCGCCTCCGTGGTGTACGTGATGTACCGCGTGAAATGCAGGGTAATACTATGACCTGTTAGAAAACCAGGTATCTAAAGTAACGCTAGACGGCCCCAATGTGATGTCTGATTGTACCGAAAACGTCTTCCATATCGTGGTCCGTTCCAGATTTGTCGATTCCCGGAGCAGCTACATCATAACCATGCGCGATTAAAAATAAACCGTTAACACTTGGAGGCTAATTAATTTTAAACCTTTCGAAAAGGTTACCGGGTCTTCTTTCACGAGCCCTTGAAATATTTCCAAAAACTACTGTTTATTTACCAGTTGGTGTGACGGCTTCTTCGCTGCCCTCCGATGTCTCCTTGCTGGGAGCGGTCGTGGCGCCCTCTTCGTCGGCTTTAGGTGTCGCTCCCTCTTCCGGTGCTTCGGTCGCCGCACCGTCCTCTTTCTCCTCCGACACGGTGACGCCGGGGATCTCGTTCTGGTGATGGCCACCTTGAATTCGCTGGTCACCGTGTCCACATCGAAGGTACCGGTAGTGTACGTGCCGGTGATGGTCATGTGCAGTGTGTACTTGCCCTTGGTAGAGGTGGGCGTGGGTGTGCCAGTTATAACGGTCTTGCCGCCGGAGATACCGTATTTGGTACCTGCAGAACATAACTATTCAATTCAATTTCTGAAAATGTGTGACACCTTGCGTTGCACCGAAATGTTTGATCCAGATGGTGAGGATTTTCTGGAGAAGATTGTTGTACTCGGTCTCGGTTTTGTAGGTAATGGTCACGGTGTAATCGAAGGTGAACTTCTTTCCTAAAATGCGTAAAAACATTGCTGCAGAATTTTTCCCAGGTGTTTTGTGCTTCTGGGTTACCAGATCCTTTGGTATCGTCGCCTTCGGTGGCAGCGGTGGTCACTTCGTTGTCGTCACCGGAAGTTTCATTATCGGGAACCTGCACGCCGGTGATCTTGGCCGTGCTGATAACGGTGATGAACTGCTTGCTGACGGTCTGCACATCCACCACGGTCTTGCTCGATCCGGAAATGATGATGCTGATTATATAGCCACCGCTCGGATTTGGTTTCTTAACGCCGACCTTGATGGTCACACCGGTCGCGCCGTATTTAGTACCTAATCAGAAAGCGCTGGTTTTTAATCAGGTAAATGGATTTGCATTGGTATCGTTACCATATTTCTGGATCCACAACTTCAGAATTTGTTGCAGGATGCTGTCGAGTTCCGTCTGAGTTTTGTAAGTAACGACAATGGTGACGGTGACTTTGAAGGAATTGCCTATGTCAAAGCAAAGCAAATTACAACCCATAAGTACCAATGTGTGTTTGCGTATACATCGTCAATGTTTATGAGCGATCGAACCTCCTGTGGTTTCGGTTGACGCAGGCGTGGTTTCTTCACCAGAATCCGAGCCCGGTGTGGTACCTTCTTCCGACTTCGACTGCGGAGTTGTTCCTTCTTCGGCATCCCCTTTAGGTGTGGTGCCCTCTCCTCCTTCGCTCTTGGGTGTAGTGCCTTCTTCAGTATCCGATTTTGGTGTAGTGCCATCTTCCGTTTCGGTTTTTGGTGTGGTGACTTCCCCGGCGTCGGATTTGGGTGTGGTTCCTTCTTCTGTCTCACCACCATCCTCCGATGTACCGCTGCCGCCAGTGGAGATTGTCACTCCTGTAATCTTGGACGTTGAAATGACCGTAATAAACTCTTTGGTGACTTTGGTGACATCAATCACGGTTTTGCTGGAGCCGGTAATCACAATGGTCAACGAGAATCCTCCAGCTGGGTTTGGTTTCTTTCCGGTAACTTTGATGGTAACCTTGGTGGCGCCGTACATGGAACCTAATCATCAAAACTCAGTTAACCGAAATTTTCTCTCTCAATAATACCATAACTATTACCGTATTTCTTGATCCAAAGCTTCAGAATTTGCTGCAGAATGGAATCCAGTTCTGTTTGGGTGGTATATTTGATGACGACGTTGACGGTCACGGTGAACTTGTTGCCACCGGATGAGGGAGTGCCTTCTTCCGTCTCTCCGCTGGGTGTGGTACCATCTTCGGTCTTTGACTGTGGGGTTGTGCCTTCCTCAATTCCGGCTTGGTGAGTGGTGCCTTTTTCCGTTCCTGATTTCGGCGTGGTACCTTCTTCTGTATCGGTTTTTGCTGTGGTACCCTCCTCGGTTTCACTCTTGGGCGTAGTTCCTTCCTGAGTTCCTGAGTTGGGTGTGGTTCCTTCCTCAGAGTCGGTCTTGGGCGATGTTCCTTCTTCGGTTCCTGATCTGGGTGTAGTACCTTCTTCCGCCTCGGACTTTGGTGTGGTGCCCTCCTCGGTTTCACTTTTGGGGGTAGTTCCTTCTTCGGTCTCTCCGCCTTCCTCCGATGTACCGCTGCCACCACCGGTCACGCTACCTCCTGTGATGATCTGCACTCCGGTAATTTTGGAAGAGGAAATAACCGTAACGAATTCCCTTGGTGACTTTGGTGACGTTGATCACGGTCTTGCTGGAGCCGGTAATGATAATGGTCAAGGAGAATCCTCCGCTTGGGTTTGGTTTCTTTCCAGTGACCTTAATGGTAACGTGTGTCGCACCGTACAGCGAACCTAATTATAAAAAAGCCCAGAAATGGCCAGAATGCACTGAACTCTCCACCGTATTAGCATATAAATAACGCAAACGTTACCGTATTTCTGGATCCAGATCTTCAAGAGTTGTTGCAGAATAGCGTCCAATTCCGTTTGCGTACTATACTTAACGATGACGTTGACAGTCACGGTGAACTTGTTGCCGCCCGTGGACGGAGTACCTTCTTCGGTCTCGCCGCTGGGCGTGGTGCCCTCTTCGGTTTTCGACTGCGGGGTGGTACGTTCTTCGGTATCGGCTTTGGGTGTGGTTCCTTCTTCGGTTCCTGAGTTCGGCGTGGTACCTTCCTCCGTTCCGGATTTAGGTGTGGTGTCCAGGTCAACATCAGGCTGAGGTGTGGAACCGGTGTGCGATTTCGGGGTGGTACCTTCGTCGGTGTTTCCAGACGGGGTTGTGCCTTCGTTGGTTTCCGACTTGGGTGTGGTTCCCTCTTCGGTTTCGGATTTGGGTGTGGTTCCCTCTTCGGTTTCCGATTTCGGTGTGGTACCTTCCTCGGCTTGAGATTTTGGTGTGGTTCCTTCTTCGGTTTCACCACCTTCCTCCGATGTGGCACTGCCACCACCGGTAACGCTACCGCCAGTGGTAATTGTCACTCCGGTGATCTTGGATTTAGAAATGACGGTGATGAACTCCTTGGTAACTTTAGTGACATCGATCACGGTTCTGCTGGATCCGGAAATGACGATTGTCAACGAGAAGCCTCCGCTGGGATTGGGTTTCTTTCCGGTTACTTTAATCGTGACACGGGTAGCGCCGTAAATCGAACCTGATGACACAAATGACCACCTGTTACAATTTTGTAAATAATTCTTTCTAAAACAACGGAAACATTACCGTATTTCTGGATCCAAAGCCTGAGGATCTGCTGTAAAATGGTGTCCAGCTCCGTTTGTGACTTGTACTTAATGATCACGCTGACGGTAATCGTGAACTGATTGGTGTCAGGAACTTGAAACACAGACGAAAAGCAACGTTACTCAGCCGTCAGACTTCTCTGTCTAAATACTGTGTTACCGGCTTTGGTGCTGCAGTCTCCGAAATCGGTGGTAAAGAAGACATTCTGCAGGCTGGAGTCAGCAACAGCTTGCTCGAAGACTTTGGCCACCGCCGCGGTATTGAAATTCACCGTGGCCATACCGCTGATCCCGTAGGTGACCTTGTTGACCACCAGTCCGCCTTCCAGTTTCCCGATGCTCAGCTGCTCCGTGTAGAAACACATTTTCAGCTTGGTGGCCTGATCTGTTAAAAAAAATACAAATACATAAAAAAACAAATTTCTAGACAAAAATTTAAATTTGTTAAACTGACTTCTTTTTCAAAAACGAAAAATTTACTCATATCAAATAAAAAAAATCATAAACAAATTTTTCCAAAAAACAGGTTTCCAAATTTAAAAATTTATCAAATGACATATTAAGACTGCTAGGTATTTAAAAAATGAAACTAAATCCTAGTTTCAAGGAAAACTTTTCTCATCTTAACAAAAACAGCAATATTTCAAAAAGCTTATTACTCAAATAAATAAATTGTTGACAAAATAATTAATGTGCGCTATTAGCGATTTATTTTACCTAAGGTGTCGCCCCAAATAGCCAACAGCTTCTGCAAGATGTCATTCCTGACTGATGCGGTCTTGTACGTTAAGTACACCGTGAAGTTGGTGCTGAAGGTTCCACGTGCTGTAATTACAAATTTCAATCCCAATTCGGTTTTTAATTCTTGGTAATAGATACCGCTTCAGCCGACTTACTAATGGTTCGGCCGTTGATCTGGTTGACGCTGACGGTACTGCACAGATCGCGTCCTGCCGCCCCTACGTCAATGCACATCAGAACCTCCAATAAACCATGTGGGCACAGTGCGTACCGGTATTGGTGACCTCCTGATCCCCGCTGGATCCGTCACCCGTGCTGCCTTCCACGCTGTTGTCGCCCTGGGTGGTGTCCTCGTCGACCACCACTCCGCTGATCTTAGCGTTGTTCAGAACCTTGTTAAAGTCCACTTTGACGGTGTCGGGAACCGGGGTGCTACTCGTGCCGGTGATGGTGTAAGTCACCACGAAGGAACCGGTGACGCTGGTGCTCGGTTTCGCAGAGCCAGTGGCAGTGATCTGTGGATTGACCACGCCGTATTTACCACCTACAGTCACAAAACAATTGTTTTATGGGCGTTTCTTATTCAGCTGTAGACAGTTGGTGCTACCGTAAGTTTTGATCCACAATTGCAGGATCTGCTGCAGCAAACGGTCGCGCTGCACCGGGGTGACAAAGCGTAGTATAACGGTGTATTCCAACGTGAACGTGTTGCCGGAATCTGTAATGAGTGGTTGTAATGCGTAATCGACGTAAGTACCAATGAGCATTACCGCTAGTGCCATCATCAGGCTTTGACTGCGGTGTTGTGCCTTCTTCGCTATCGTTCTTGGGTGTGGTCGCCTCATCTGTATCGGTTTTGGGTGTAGTACCCTCTTCCGTGCCAGCCTGAGGTGTGGTACCGTCTTCGGTTCCGGAATTTGGCATGGTGCCTTCCTCGGTTCCTGAAGCTGACGTGGTACCTTCCTCAGTACCTGATCTTGGTGTAGTACCTTCCTCGGTTCCGGAAGCTGGTGTAGTGCCTTCTTCGGTTCCAGATTTAGGTGTGGTACCATCCTCGCTTCCTGACGTTGGCGTGGTACCTTCCTCGGTTCCTGAAGCTGGCGTGGTACCTTCCTCGGTTCCTGAAGCTGGCGTGGTACCTTCCTCGGTTTCTGATTTTGGTGTGGAACCACCTTCGGTTTCAGATGACAGTGTGGTTCCTTCCTCAGTATCAGCCTTGGGCGTGGTTCCTTCTTCGGTCTCACCACCCTCTTCCGAGGTGCCGCTACCACCGCCGGTAGCGCTGCCTCCCGTGACGATCTGTACTCCCGTGATCTTTGAAGACGAAACGACAGTAACAAATTCCTTGGTAACTTTGGTAACGTTGATCGGTGTCTTGCTGGAGCCGGTAATCACAATGGTCAACGAGAATCCTCCAGACGGGTTTGGTTTGTTCCCGGTGACTTTGATGGTAATTTGTGTGGCGCCGTACAGGGAACCTATAAACCAGAAATCCGAATGAACCTAGATCTTGCTCCGGCATCTTAACGGCAATTGTATTACCGTATTTCTGTTTAAAAATCTGCAGGATTTGTTGCAGGATGGCGTCCAGCTCCGTCTGGGTGTTGTACTTGACGACGACGTTAAACGTGACGGTAAATTTATTGCCACCCGTGGCTGATGTGCCTTCGTCAGTGTCGTTGCTGGATGTGGCACCCTCGTCCGTTTCCGTCGAAGCTGTGGTAGCTTCGTCGGTGTCGCCGCTGGATTCAGGCAGGGTGATACCGGTAATCTTGGAGGTCTTGATGGCCGCCATGAATTTGGTGTTGAGCGTCTTAATATCGATGTCACCGCTGCTCTGACCAGAGATACGGAAGGTCAACAGTTTGGCTCCCTCCACGTCCGACGGTTGTTCCGATTGGACGGCGATTTTCAGGTTGGTGAAGGAATAACTCGCTACACATTCCCAAGACAAGCGTTAAATAAGACACATACCAAATACAAGCGTACTAGTTGCAAGTAAATTATCTGAAGTCTAATCAATTTCGCTGCAGTTTTACAAGTAATTAATTTCTTGTTGTGACAATAATTTTCGAAGCACTGAATACGCACCGAATTGGGTCTTGAACAGAGCCAGAATCTGCTGCAAAAGACGATCCCGAGCTCCACTGGACGAGTACACAAAGTTGGCCTGGACGTCGACATTGAACCTTGTCGAGCCTGAAGGGCACAAGTATCATAAATTTTTGCACAGCCGACTTAAAAATGCAGAGCAATGGAAAACGCTTATTGACAAATGTTCTAAAACCTCTTGAGAGACATCACGTTTAGCCATAAATTCGAAAACAGGTACAGAATTCGCTATTGAGATTTTCAGGATTGCCAGTAAGAATTTCATGGCAAAGACGTCCAAATCGCATTTCTTTGCCCAATAGCAGTCTTTGCTTCAACGGGATTAAAGCAAGAGCAAAACGTTTGAGATGTTGATTTCTCGAAAACCTTGAAAAACATGTAAATGATAATTTTTTTGCCTGATAAAAAGATCTTTAACGTTTCGATATAGGTAATTAACGTGTAATGTATTACCAAAGGAAACTTTGAATCTGTAAATTCAGATCGATGAGACAAAGAACAGTTTTTCGCAACACTTAAGTTATACTTAATAATTACAAATGTATAAGCAGCATGTAAAAATAAATTACAGTTACAGTATGTATCCTGTTACACCGCAAGCGTTTATTTTGGAAACGAAGCGGTGTTCTTTAGTTAGGAAACACGTTAGTACCGTCAGTGCTGGAGCCGCTGGTCAGATAGAGTTCCACGCCGGGAATAGCGGCCGCCGTAATAGCGGTGTTAAAACTGCTGACAAGGGGCTTGAGATTGAAGCCGGTTGGTCCTTTCCCGCTGATGCGGAATGTCAGCTGTTTGTACTGCTCGAAGGCTTCTGGACCCGGCAGTTCGGTGACGACCGTGATCTTCTCATCGTACAGCTGGTATTTATCTGCCGGCAAATTAAGCGCGGTAATTAAAATTAATCACGGAAAGTTTACGGGTTGCGCTCTGCCGATTAAGTATTGTTTCCCATTTGGCTACACTGCCGCATCGCCCCAGGGCTAAATTGTATTACCCATTTGCAACAACACGATAATATTTCAATTGAACTGCTATTTTATTGTTGTACGGTAGAAGATCAATATTATTATTGCCACAGCCGTGTTATCATAGGGAAGATTACCATCAAATTTTGTTTTCCACACATCCAGTATTTGCTGCAGCATACTGTCCCGGTCGGCGGTGGACTTGTACGAGAAGAAGGCGGTCACTTCGATCTGCCAAGATAGTGTGCCTAAGAACATTAAACTCTATGTAAATGTTATGCAATTTTCATGTACGAATGAGGGATTGAGTAACCGGTTAATTATTGTCTGTTTTACCTTTCATAACGGCCGCATCGTTATTGCCGGCAAAAACCTGTTCAACAGCAAAAACGGCATCTGTACAAAATGACATTGCAAAACTTCTGTTGGCCGCTCCTTTCAGCTAATACAGTTAGTTTTGATAATCGGTAACTATAATTTTAGGGCGTAAAACAAATCATCATCATAAGAAAGGACATACAACAAACTTTGTAAGCTCTAATTTAAAAAGTTAATTAATTGTTTCAATTTGGCTGCAACAAATGCGCTATGCGCTATGCGTTATGCGCTATGGTTGTAAATTATGGCTATGCGTTATGTACACTGATATTAGCTGGGATGGATTTTGCAGTAAGAATAAATTATTTTATCAAGTTGCACCCGAACTTTTTTTGAGCGAACTGGATAAAGTCATCGTCAAAACAATTTAAATAATTTTGGCTGGAAAATAAATAAATAAATACTGTACTAATGTACCTGTACACATGTACTCGCTAAAATCAAGAATTTTTTAGATTTAATTTGGGTAACATTGTTAATCAGTCTTACCAGAATCAGCGCCGTAGCGCATCCCACCAGCAATCCCGTCGTCATATCGTCGTTTTTAGCAGACAACCGATGCCACTACTGCGTATTGTCTGGGCTCAATCACGGTGAGCCGATTATCCAAGCCGACTGTCTGCAACAACGAATTAATTACATCTATTGGACCGGCTTATATATAAGCCTCACCTGTTTGTACCTTGCGGGAGGGTTCCTGGCAAACAGGTTCATATTTGATGAATCAATTGACCGCAAGCAGCATTCTGCAGTGTATACCGTCGTACTGTTATTAAAAACACCTGAACCAGTCAGCAGATCGTTATCGCAATTGTAATGCTGGATACAAAGCGTTATGTAATCCATGCAAACCACATTTAATTTTGCCGAATACTGCATGCCAGTTAATTTGTGCATGATAAGGCGCTTGATGAACTCATCGTTAATGACAAGATTTTCCTTCCGGGATAATTTGCAGTTCAGTCAGCAATAATGCTATTAAATTTTAATATGACAAAACAACAAAAAATTAAAAATTCTGAAAAAAATAACATCATAAAGAAAACACCGGTAAATAGAAAATATTTGTGATGCAAAGGAAAAACCGAAAGAGATTTATTTGGAATGACATTAAAATTATATTCCTTTTTTGCGCAGTATTTTTGTTAATTTTTTTCATCTCTTCTAAAGGTAAAAGTAAAACCTGTAGCGGAAAAATCTGCAAGATTAGTTTGAACTGCAGAATTTGTTAGATGCGAATCATGCGATAAACAATTTTTTTCAAGAACATTCACTGAAAACAGATAACGGTAGTACTGTACAGAGTACAACACATGAGCACATTTCACAATCAATATTACGATCATCGATTGTTATGTTGTTGTCGCCATCTGGAAACGTTTCCACTGAAAACGTTTAGCGGTATAATTACAATAGTTACATACACAACGAACAGTGATATTCACTGCCGGAGTGCATTGTACCTGAGATAAAAGGGAAACTGTCAAATAAAAATTACAGCATCTGCTAGACAAAGAAAAGTTCGCCGCAGAACACCGTTCATCATAAACCGATAAATTATATCGTCACTCCTAATTAATAAAATCCGTAATCATTTATTGTAACAGTAAAAAAATAGTTGTAATTAGTGCAATGCCTCTGCCGCTAGACCGTCAGCAATTATGCCGACACAAAATTACCTGTACACGAACTTTAAAATCTCGATGAGAACAGCACGGCAAGTTCAAGGCAGAGAATTTGATAATGGCCCTAAAACAATTACTCTTGCATAGCACGCACGCATAATCGCCATTCGATCAGCACCGGCATATACACTGACATTGTGAGCCGCGCCGCTATAACAAGGAAACGAACAGGCGTTTATAATAGACCGGAGCGAACGGACGCGGCCCGGCGTTAACCAGTCAACCAAGAACACCCGGCACAACAGATTCATTTAAAAGCACTACGTTGCGCATGATCACAGCAGTCAGCGGTACATTCGCATTCTTACTCAACAAGTGGTTTTTTCACTGACAAGCCGGTAAAGAATGAAGTGTCTGATTGTGTTGGCCGTTGTGCTGGGCGTGTCCAGCGCCGGTGTGGTTAAGCGGCAAGCCCAAAGCCCGGGTGTGTTCAGCGCGTTGGATCTGCTGCGCGGCAAGAGCAAGCTGAGCAATGACGACATCCGCAACATGGTGCTGACTGCGCAGGCCGGCCAAGACTATCCTAATCTGGCCAGCATTCCTGACTCCACCTTTGACTGCAGCGCCCACAAGCCCGGATTCTATGCTGACGTCTCCCAACGCTGCCAAGGTAAAACTGAATTTTGATATCCAAATAAGTTATGTAATAATATGCGTCATGCAATTAATTTTTTAGCTACTGTACTTTTAAAAAAAAATATATTTGATTATATATGTTTTCAGAACAATTGCATTATTTTGACTTTTATATGTAAAGGGACATATTCTATTTTTGCCGACATTATTTTCCTCGCTTCTCGTATAGGCTAAAAAGATAGTCCACCAAATTAATACGTGATCACTCGTCGCTTGTCAGCCACGTCCTTTCTGTCATCCTTCCGAATTCCCATTACTAATAAAATGTTGCGAGAATATTGGCGCGAAAAACTGAAAATTATTGCACCGTTACTTAACTGATGACCTTTGCAGTTGTCCGCCGCTGCGATGTCAACGGCAACCAGACTTCTTTCCTTTGCCCCAACATGACCGTACGTCATCCAATACACCCCGGGCTTTCTTGATGCTATGTGCACTACCATTCTGCATTTATTGTACAGGTCTTCAACCAGATCACACTGGTATGCCACTGGTTCTGGGACGTTGACTGCAGCCTGTCCGAGACGTTCTACGATTACTCCAACAGCCGTCTGTACCAGGAGAACGCTGTCCTGTTGGATGACGAGACCACCTACGAAGAGACAGCCGCTGCCATATCTGCTTCCCCGAAAGCCGCCGCCGCCCCTAAGGCCGCTGCCCCTAAAGCTGCTGCCCCTAAAGCCGCTGCCCCTAAAGCCGCTGCCCCTAAAGCCGCCGCCCCTAAAGCTGCTGCTCCTAAAGCGAAAGCAGCGGCCAAAAAGCCATAAAACGGAATAAGCGGAAAGAGGCAGTTAAGGATTCGTTACCGCGCCACCATTGCGGTTTTCTAAATCATGTCAAACTTTTCGGTTACAACTTCTGAATATTTTTACTAGTAGTGTGTAATGGTCTGCTGTTTGTGTACAAATACGTGCGTTGTACAATTATTTAAACTTGTCGGTATTCCGGTTTCTAGGTGCGCTGTGTTTATGTCAAGAGAATAAAGACGCAAACCTTTCATCACATAATAATAACGATGATATTACTAATGACTATTAGGAGGGTGCTTTGATAATGACAACTTGTGCACTTTGAAGCGTGCTAATGATGATATCGGATGTTTCGGTAATAACGCTAATGATGCTATTTTTTTAATGGGCAACAGCCAATCCACATATCGGTATGCTTCAGCAGGTTTACACTAATTAAAATGATTAAATTTTAAACATTGAAAAAACACCCATAATCATTATTGTCATTCAAAATCTTATGATGTGCACTCAAGGTACCCAGAACAGCTGCTGCGTTTCCTCTTACTACAGCCAAACTTAATCGCTGCCTTAAAAAGGCCGTGGATCTAGGCTCTCCTGTAGCGTCGCGGATCTTCCGGCCAACAAAACGAATCAGTTCCGCAAACGATGTTCCAAAAGTTCCGAACGTCTCGACCGCCAGAGCGTAGAAAAAATAGCCCAAGCCCTCAACGAATGCGTACTTCCGCCGCTTGAAATTTTCCGCCAGTTGTGCGACACTCCCGGCTTTCAGGGAGCTAGCATGTACATGCGACACGGCCACAGTATCCCAACAAGTTGCATCCCATACCACGGCCTTTCCTTCGCGCACAGGAATCAAAGTCATCCCATCCGGCCGCTTGCCGTCTTTGTCAGACAATCCAGCCGGTTCGCTTTGGCAGGGATAGCCGGCGAGCTCCAAGCCGCGTTTCGTCTCATTGTTCAGCTCAACATGTCGCGACCATCTGCCTTTGCTGCTAGGACAAGACAAACCGTGGTGGCCGTTTGTTTCCACTCGGCTTCCACAGTTTACGCAGTCGTGTTCCTCCACAACGGGCAGCCCAAATCGAAGAGCAATACCAACTCTGACTTCTTCATCTCGCAAGAATGTATGTAGAGCAGGTGCTGGAAGGGCATTTAACCAGGCGCCGGAGTCACGTTGGAGAGCAGCCAGCAGCACTGCCTTGTCCGTTTCATTTACAGCAGCCGCTTTCAGGGATGACACGACACAGTCTATCGAAGGTCGATCCCAGGCCCACTGAAATTTCCTGCTTTCCTCGGATGGTGGTTTGCAATTTGACCATTTGGACCATTCTTCTACAACGGAATCCAGTAACGCCACCGTCGCAGGCTGGTAGATTTCGGAAACCAGCGAAACCACCGAAAACGCCGACGCCAGAAAGGCGGGAAAAACTAGCGCTTTAGTGGTTCGCAGTCCAAGTCCACCGTCCCTCACAGGCAAGGTCATCTGGCTCCACTGGAGATCTGTAGCACGGATATTCAGAATAGACTGCATCCCGACACGTACACATTCATCCATGACGTCAGTGAGCGCCATGTGCTCGTAGCACCTAGATGTACGGAAACCATAGAGTAACTTTGGGATTAGCAGACAGTGTTTGAGGAGATAAAGGCTGAAATGTGCGGGTATCTCTTTAAGGCGGCCGAGAAACTCTTTCAGCTGCGCAGTTATGCTCTTCAGAAATGTCACGCACGCTGCTGATGTTAGTGGTGATCCCAACAAAACAAAGTCATCTTCGCCGGTGACACGCATATTGGGCCAAACATTAAGTACTGACTGGACAGCGTGCTGGCGATCCGCAGAAAAACGTCCCACACCGTAGACTTCACACTTGTCCAGATTCAACTCTAATCCCATACTGAAGCCGCGAGTAATAATAAGGCGTATGGCTGCGATAACTTTCTCAGCAGGTCCGGCTAGTGTGACGTCATCCAGAAAACCGATCGCTATGTCACAGTCTAGATCGTCGAAAAGCGGTAAGGTTGCCAGACTATATCCAAAGGGGCCATTCGGGTCGCCTTGTTGCACTCCCGTCTCGGACGAAATCTGGTAAGAGCCACAAGACAAGCGGGAGGGATGACGGTAGCACTGCCAGAAATAACGGTAGTAGGCAGGGAAATGGGATTTTATGGTGGACAGGAGAACGTCACGACGCAAAGTGTTAAAGGCGTTACGAAAGTCCAGTTTAACAATCACCCGTGCGTCATTATGAACCTCCTCCACATAATTCCTTACTGCATGCACAGCCGCTTCAGCTCCTCCTCGTATCCCAAAACCCAACTGAGATGAGGTAAACATTGCAGCAGCTTCATCTGCGCATCGCCTACTAACGATCTTTGACCACAGGCTACGCAAAGTGTCCCCGACAGCAATCGGCCGTATACCTCCGTCCTTTTTCAGTAGAGGAATTAGATTAGCTCCGAAAAGAAACGGCCTGATATCCTCAGGTACATCTTTCCGTAGCAACATGGTGGCCAGATCCGTCAGGGCAAGACAAAGCTCACTCTGTGTGTCATCCTTACGTCCGAGGAGGTCCTTCAGATGTTGCGGGCGTAGACCAAACACTCCTCCAGCTGAACCGGGCGGAAAGCTGAATGTGGCTGACATCAACTCGGCTGGAGAAACAGCTGTGGCGTGTGCTGTATCATCAGGTGGCGCTGGGAAATTGCAGTCCTCCGGCGCAGGTGGATGCTTATCACGAAGCGATTCCACAGTCCGAGGATTGATTTCTGCAATTTTGTCGTCCGCAAGTAAAACTCTGATCGCGCCCTTAACATTGCCGTCCTGCAGCATGGACGTCATCTGCGCGCGCAGGTGATCGGCTGTAGCGTCTCGCTTGTGGGGATATTCGCGCTGAGGGACGGCTTGGCGTTTGTCCAGGGACAGATCGGCGAGATTCCTTCTAACAACTGCCGCGAGCGAGTCTTTTCGTAGTGATTTTGCAGGGGGAAGCGACAGAGCAGCTGGTGCAAAAAGCAGCAATGCGATCCAGCTGGCAGAGTCGTTGGTGCGCACACACTTCTGGACGAGATCGGTTAGGGTGCGAGCACACTGACGTCGCACTGCTTTGGGGATCCTGAATGCTATTGAATGTTTCGGTAATACCTAGTAACCTAATTTTAAAGTGGTAGCGTCGGGTTATATCCGTGATAACAATTATGAATGGACATAAAGAAGCGTGCAGTACTTGTGCTACATGTACGCTAGATTTAGGAACAGATGCATTAGTCTCGGTTTTAGCTGACTCATTTGCTTTTCCGAACCGTTAAAATTTCGTGTCATGCTGCAGTACAGAGCAGATATGTTGCAGACCGATAAGAAAATTTTTTCAAACAAGAGGTGCCGCTCTACTTGTGGGTTGCTTCAGCGTCCGAGCTTGGCGTTCTGGGTGGCAGCCTCGGCTCATGTTAACTGAGACAGAATTGGTTTCGTGTGGATTTTCTTTGAGCAGTTGCTGGCCGGGTTCGCGTACTGAATAGTAGTCTCACTTAATTGTTGCCAGATTTATCACAAGAAAGACCTGCACGCGATGATCTTAACCATCCCAGCTTGCCGGTAATAACTAATAACTGGATCCCAGTGCCGTCCAAGAAGCTCCAATTTTCCATTAGGCGTATGCGCTAATCATTTAATATATGTCGACGTGATTCAGAACTGCTGGGTCGAGCAGAATGATAATGCGGATTCCGTTGTGCGCACTGTGGTACCCTGGCACACCGCGGGCACTCTGGCACTATGGTACCCTGGTACATCACTGTGCTCCGTGCATCACAAGTCTTTCCCACCTTATTACGCCGCAAAAGGATGGTACAAAAGTGCTGATGCACGGAAGTGTCTTGTCAGGCCCTGCCGTGTGTTGGCTATAACAAAATTGGCGGGCATCATTAGACGAATGCTCGTTGCGACTGATTACCGCAGTACATTGGGGAGAATCAAACCGCTACAGAAGCAGAGTCGGGCAGTTGGCAATCGTTGAATGTGGAAGACCTCTGCGCGTATCATGTGGCACGCTTAATCGACATCATATTACGTGATTGTGCAGTCATAGCCGCTTCCTGTTGCCGGCGTTCTATATTTCTGTGAAGTTACCGCTGGCAGTGGAATTTGGCCCCGTGGTGTGTGGACTGTACAGCGAATGCCCTCGCTAAACTTCTGATTAACGAGTTATGGGTCTAGCTCGACCAAAAGCTTTTTTATATGGATTTTTAGGGTTGCAGCTGAGAACTGCTCGTCTGCATAGTGTAAGGAAATACGCATGTTGTTTTTCGCATGTCGAATACTGACTGTTGTTCGCTGTCTTAAATGTGACTATAAGTAGCGGAACTAAGGCAGAGCCGCCTTTTCTTCTCTTCGTTGCCCAGGGTGCCAGCTGCAGATGTCAACAGGAATTCCGCTCTGCAGCTTTTCAGCCGTAGCCTGTCCTTCATTGCTTCCAGTTCTGTCGTGTTCGTAAGTAATGTAAGATTTTAATATCTCCACAGCAGCGCTACCGAACAACAACTAAATATAAAAGTAATGAGACTGACAAATACAGCAATCATATTGCTATGCAGAGCACTCGGACTCGGACAAGGTCAGCCATAATCGCGTGAATACATAACTGTAAAGTAAGTACAGAGTACTAGGAGAATATCACCAAGTTCTGTTCTTGAAAACTGTACACCTGATACGAAGTGGATAACTCAACCCGCGCGGACGACTGGAAGCTTTGAAAACTACAGAGCTAGCATACTACGAGCATAGCATACTCGTATTAACCTACACTGCTACCGAAGGTCGAAGTTAAAAGCAAAAACTGATCGCCGCTTGCATAAAAACAGTTATGCGCGGCAAGATGCGATCGAAGCGATGCGACGCAGGTTGCACTGGAAACCGGTATCGTTGCGATGGGCATAGACTGTACTCTATCTTCGTGGCGCGCACCTTATACATAGTTATTCCTGATGTACATAGTTATTACTATAATACTATCCCACTTCCGTATTGTAGCGAAACTAGATACAGTGCTGCATCGTAGTGAGATACGCTTAGGAAATCACTTATCAGACCCTCCCTCAGTTCAGTATTTCTGGATATGCAATAACGCACTGAGTACTCGGTAAGTCCACGACAGGCGAAACCTGGTTGGCCTTCCGCTAACTTCCAGCGAGTGAAAAAAACGTTACTGCTAATTTAGAATTATTGCTAGAAAATTGGCTATTTAAAGATTTCCCGTGGCAATAAAGGATTACGAAATCCAAGTCTACCGGGTACTACTGCAGTTCGAGAAAATACCCTGTATAGAGATTTTATTATTAAGCAGTTTTTATTGTAGCTTTTATTAATTTTCTACTGCTCTTTAATCAAAACGCAACTAAACCCAACAATACAACTGACCAAGCCAAATGAAAAATTACCTGTGGCCGGTTACCAAGACCACGGAAAGGTTCTCGTGAAATGCGGATGTACTGAACTCTTAAACACTCGTACGTCACATTAACATTTTCCAAAAAAAAACAGTTTTTGTGATCTTAATCGTATGAAGTGCTCTTAGTTAAGACAAAAAGAGACACATTCATTGGACTGCTGTACAAATAGTTAGAAAAATTATGACCGATGCTCATCCATCGGGAACTCATCTAGTGCTTATTGCATTTATCGATATTTTGCTCCAGACACTGAGTGTACAAAGTACGCCCACCAAAACTGTCCGATGATCGCCCAGGGTGACAGTGGGCGTGTGTTCAGTATGTGACCAGAGAGCACCAAAAATCCGGCTGGCATTTTGACCGAATAAAAATTCTTTCGGAAAACTTTCTGCCGCTGTGCTGGCCACCGGAAAGTCGGCCGGCGTTTTGGCAAAACCATAGTTCGGCCGGAAGAAAGTTCTGCCGGCGTTTCGGCGCTGCTCGAGCAAATCTGACCAAATTAATCGGCTTGCCAACAATGGGAACTGCTACGGTAAACGGGACAGATTGGGTTCTTTCGGAACATCGCATGCAACTTGGCCCTTGGAGCTTTATGAATAATCGGTCTGGTTACCCTGGTAGACGTAGTTCCGTTTTTATTGGCTGTGGCTCGGTATGCTTTTGGGTTGAATTTATTGGCTGTGTCTTTGGTATGCTAATGGGTTAAACATTCATTAACATTTTTTCATCGGTGTTACGAGTTAAGCAAAGACGTTTCTAAATATTTAGCCTGCGCCGCTTTTACAATAATTTCATTTTGATGGTATATCCATACCGTAGTATGTGCTCGTATTTGTTTTTATTTTGATGTTTTACAGCATTGACGCAAAATATTTTTTGATTAAAACTGCCTGTCTGTTGAAATCTAATGTTTCTTAGTTCTCACAATCTGAACATTGAGACCAAATGTCCCTATGGCGAAAACCTTTACTGCGTGTTGTCTCTTAGACCAAAAATCAGATGACGAAATGTCTCAGAACTAAACGTCACCGATTGTTCCTACACTAATTGTCCCATAACTATTAACTGTCGCACGGCGTTTGTCCTTAAAATCAACCGTCTCCGGCGAAATGGCACGCGACCAAGGCAGGGGGTAAAACGTGGCATTGGCACCTGCCAGTGGCACTGCCAATGGCATGGCGAGCAATAAAACCTGGAGACTCTGGCAGCTGGCATGCGATAAAATCTGGCAGATGCCGCATAAAATGTGGCAATTAATAAGTTTTTAGTCAACTACATAATTTTCAAAACATCTTGCCGGTAAATCGTCAGTTTGACATGTATAGTGTTGTTCGCATTATTGGCCATGCATGAAGTTCTTAAGTAATCGCCGGCACAAACAATTTCAAAAGGTCACATTGCATTCTTCCAGATCTACAAAGTAGAAAGCACGCCGCTGGAATAAGGCTTGCGAATGACCGCGGTGCTTTAATCGGTTATCAGCGTTATAGGTAGGGTACAGTGTTGATTACACTCACCGGGTCAGTGCAGTACCAGACAACCAGGCTTCCAGCACGGTAGACGCCCGATGACACATCACCTGGGCCTGCTTTTACTCGACTTTTGTTGCACTGTTTTTACCTCCGGTAAAAATGCACACACACAGATGAGCACTTGTGTGCAAGAAATTAAGGGAAGTGTGCCGGTACGTTGTGCAAAGCAGGTGTGTGTTAACTAACACATTCACTTTCGAGCACCTTTTTCCCTTGCTTTAAGCTATCATAATCAAATACTTGGCGAGAAAATTATTTGTGGTGCGTGCAACATCCGGTTGGAAAGAGAAGGATAGAAATAAAATTTCAGCAGTTCGAACGCACTGCATTGTACAAAAGTCTCACTATAGATTGCCCTTTACCTTGAACAACACTAAGCCAGGTTTCCATAGTTTCTTTCCTGTGCACAAAAACGGTCTTCAGGACAATGATGACAAATAATTTGGCTATAAAAATGTCGTGAAACAATACCAAAAGGTGTTCGAAAGTGCGCGAAAGCGAGAAATACCGTAGACAATTTGGTACCATGCATGCAATGCATACAATTTGGTACCATCCACAGGCACACTTACCTTGAATAGATGACCGTGAGAAAGACGGCACTGAGCTCCGGTTTATATCCACGAAGTCAGCAAAACGACCTTCGCTTCATGCGTAGTTTATACTCGAAATTTAGTTGATCAAATTCAAAACGCAGAAATTATGAACTTAATATTACTTGCGCAAATTGACATAACAGTCGAATACGCAAATATAGTACGCAAATGTAGACTAACACGAATTTATTTTCCCGTAGTATGTCCCACTATGATCCTGTCTACCTTGGTGGAGTCAATATTTCATGAACATGACAGTACTGCGG